GCGTTTTGAGCTCCAGAGTCGCTAAATGGGACTCGAACCGAACGTGTGACCCCACCAATGGATTGCTCGTCCGGAGAGCTATCCATTGGTGGGGTCACACGTTCGGTTCGAGTCCTGCTCAGCGACCTTGCAGCTCAAAACGCGTCTAGAGTTTTGGCCGCCTCTACCGGTCTTCTGGAGAATCCACTGTGTGCTTGTGGGAAGCGGGCTCGGTGGCACTTTGGGGTGATTCGGAGTGCCCTGCCTGCCCTGCCTGCGTGCGTCTTATCTGCCAACTCCACTTGCTCCATTTATCAGCCCGAGATGAGCGACCGGCCCGAACCAGACTTCCGTGATCGACTGGCGGAGAAGTGGACAGGAGGCTTTTATGAAACACGTCGGTTTGAGGGGGAGTCGTCACGTTGCCATTTTTCACGACTTTTGGCCAGTCATCGACGCTCCTCCTCGTGACCCGCACAGCCTGGCCTCCTCGTTCCACGCAGTTCCACGCTTCCAGGAGACGGGGTGGACGGAAGTCGTGACGGAAACGGAGTGTGAGCGGCGTGAGCGGCCTCCACCAGCGGGGCTCCTCAATGTTGGTCCCCGCCAGTGTCACACGAGCGTCCGATGTCAACAGCGAGTGGCCTCAAGGCGTTCGAATGAAAGTCAGCCTCCTGTCGGGGACTCGAACCTGCGACCTGCGACACCCACCTCGTCCATGGAGCTACAGCCGGCAGCGCTCAGGCCGGCGGGCGGCCGCGGACTCCGTCATCGGGGAGGTAATCCAAACGACACCGTCGACGGCCTGTCATCCTGACCACTCACACACTTGCACTCACACGCGCGCGAGACTCGTGTTCGAACTTCGAACGCACCCCCGCGCCGGGTGCGGGCCGCGGGCAGCCGCGGGCACACGACGCCGAGCGCCGCCGAGATAGCCAGCCGTACCGTCCCGTACCGTCCGCACGCCGCCAGCGCGCGCGCTACACTGACTACCACCACACTGGCATGGCGGCGCGGCGAGCCCGGCGGCGCCGCGACGCCGAGTCGTGCCGTCGCTCTGTCTCTGTCGCACTCGCGGCGTCCCGCGGCGGCGCCAGAGAGACGGAGCGATAGTTCGGCAGTGCAGTGTCGCCCGGTCGCCGACGAGGAAGCCGCGCGACGCCTGTCCGGCATCTCTCAATTTCATGCTGCGCCAAGTCACCCCGCCAAAGTGCGAAGACACCCTCTGCTGTCTCTCTCGCACCCCTGCGGAGCACTGCGGAGCGCCCCTCGAGTGCGACAGAGACAGAACGACTCTCACATCGCTTGGCAGTGTACTGGGTGCAGCGGCGCATGGTCCTTAGGCGCTTTTGGAGTTGCCCGGCGTTGCCCGGCGCTGCCCGCAGTCACGGTGCGATGCTCGGCGGGCGATACGGGGCCGGCACGCCGGCATTGGGTAGCCGACCGGGTAGCAGGCCGGGTAGCCTAGTCAGTGTCGACGGGGACGGCCGGGACGGCCACGCTAAGATACGCATAGCGCACAGTAACGCACAGTAGCGTCGGGGCCGACTCCGAAAGCGCAGACTGCTTGCTGCGGAGCGCTTCCGAACCGCTCTCGACACGCACAGTGGATTTGCCAGAAGACCGGTGGAGGCGCTCAAAATTCTAGACGCGTTTCGAGCTCCAGCGTCGCTATATAGGCCTCGAACCGAGCGTGTGACCCCACCAATGGATTCCTCGTTCGGTGAGCAATCCATTGGCGGGGCCACACGCTCTGTTCGAGTCCCATTTAGCGACTCAGGAGCTCAAAAGGCTTCTACAGTTTTGGCCGCCTGCCCCACTGTGACACGCCACTCGTCGAGTGTGGAGTCTAGCGGCCCGGCAGCGGCGCCGGCGCGGAGGAGCAGAGTCGCGAGCACGCCGACGAGCACGTGACCCAGCAACAGGCATGCCGTCGGGGCCTCGGCCGGGGCCGTCCACTCCACTTCATAGACTGCATCAAGCACTGCCAGGCACGCAACGGCAGTCAGCGGCAGCCAGCCCTCGCCCCCCTCGTTGACGGCTGTCTCTCTCGCACCCCTTCGAGCCCCTCGGGCCCTGCGGCACGCCCCGTGAGTGCGACAGAGACAGAGCGAAGCAACGAGCAACGACCCTGCGGAATCAGGCGGCTCTGCTGCGGCGGACACATATTCAATACTTGTCCCTTCGCTCGGCCCGAATGGCCCGCATGGCCCGCTCGGCGTTAGTTCGGCCTTGACCGACCGCGGGACCGCGCGCCGAGGACAGTGGTGTGGCCGGTGGCCGGCAAGGCGGGCACGGCAAGGACTCTAGGCAAGCGCCTGTGGGTAGGCAACCCATCGGCCGCAAGGGGGTGGGTGTCTTGCCGCACCCTCTCTAGCGGCCTCCCTCCCTCGGCGCGGTCCCACACTGGCATTCATACGTTCAGCGCAGAGTGAGGACCCTAGTGTCCTTCGAGGCCCCCCACCCCAACCTTTCAAAGAAAACACATCCTGGCGCCTGCCAATACCGGCATCGCATCGCGTCCATCTCCACTCCTTTCGTCGCTGTCCCTCTCGCACTCGTGGGGCCGTGGGGCGCGCGGGGGGAGTGCGAGAGGGACAGGGAGACAGCCTGCAGACTCCGTGGACGCCGCCGTGTCCTCGGCGTCCTAGGCCAACAAAGGGGCGCCATCCAGCGCTATCGACCAGCGGGTAACGCCGCACCGGCCAGCGGCCACCAGCCGGCCAGCCTTATGCACGCAGCAGCGGCTGTCTCTCTCGCACGCCCGTGCCAGGCCGTGGGTGCGAGAGAGAGAGCGAGCTCGGAATCGGCCGGCCGGTGACGTGGCCGTTGTGCGAGGCGAGACGCCGATTTGCGACAACCCCCCGCTTCCACCCTCCACCCCCCGTCGAGGCCCCCGCTCCCGCGGCACCCCCCCCCCCCTCCTTCTCCTTGCGGTTTGTAGGGAGGCTTCCCGAGGGGCTGCTGGCCGTGCTGGCCGTGCTGGTGCTTAGAGGCGCCGCATTACTCCAGCCAGCCCCGCGGGATTGCGTCTGTGACGTCATCGGTGCGTCGCCGAAATGTCCGGAAAGGCTGATGCTGCAGAGTCGCTAACTCGCTCTGTCTCCTGTCACGTCCACGTGACAGAGCGACCCCAGCCAGAATTAGGTGTTTGACGACGTTGATTCGACGTAGAATCGATGAAAAATCCATCGATTCTACGTCGAACCGATGTCCTTTTGAACACCTAATTCTGGCTGGGACTCGACTCTCGGGAGAGGCACGGCTGGAAAGAACGAAGATGAAACCGTGTCGGTGGTTAAAAGGCGCAGATCGCGGGGTGTCCGATCCGGTGCGATCCAGCGCGGGGTAGGTTGCGCCATGCCCCCCCCCCTCCCCCCAACAGCCGGTCCAGAGCGCCGATCGCACAGCCGCCCCCGCACTGCGAGGGACGCCCCCCTTCACTAGAGTCGAAGCTCCTCGGGGGACGAAATCTACAATCCACGCAACTGGCATCGAGACCCGGGCACAAGCTGAGATGTCGCAGGACAGTGAGCCGAGTTGCTTGTTAAAATGACATCCTTTCGGCATTTATTTTTTTGAAAGACAGGTTCTTAAGATTTTAATTTGGGAAACGGTTTAAATTTGTTGTGACTTGGAACGAAAGAGACCTGTTTGGAAATGTCGACAACCAGCACCATCTCACGGGGGACGGGGGTTGAGATCTGGTAATAATGCCACGGGGGGAGGGGTAGGGGGCGTTTGCAGCCGCCTCTTCTCGAAGGCGTCCGATATGCACGACAGCCTCTCGATTTCCACCGTTGGTCTGTTGAGGCTCAAATTAAATAAATATCACGCACAACAAACAAGCCGAATAACACAAATAGAAGTGAATGTGTGAGACAGGGGTGGCTAGCAGACGACATGTTTTGACATGTCCTTGTCATGCCACGAAATGTTTCGTTCAACTACTAGACAGACCGAGCCAAGATTTACCCAACAATTTTCGAAAAAAAAAATGAAAATAAAATAGCTTCCTAAAGTTACTGAATGATGGGTCAAGACCTTTTCAAACAAAATACGGCAGACACACTATTGCGCCAAAAGAGACGGACTTTGGTGATGGGCAAAACACGTCTGTTTTCGCTCCTTACCTTCGACATGATGCCTCCTCGGATTGCCTTATTCCGACCGGGTCATCCCACTAAACTTGTACAGCACCTCACGCAACCACTTCACTTGGCACGGGACAAAAGTCATTCACAAACACAGAGTAGCGCATCGGGGCACACACTAACCCAACCTCATCCACAGTTCCGTCACAACAAAACACAGATGTGCCAACAGCGGCACCGGCCGCGCATTTCAGCCTCCAGCCTCGCGGGAGTTTCTCGGCGGTCCGGGCGCAACACCAACGGTGCTCTACACCACCAACGAGTACCCGCGCGCGCAAGTAGAGTACCGAGACGGTTCATTCATCGGGCATGTACCAGACATGCTTCGGTAAAGGACTGACTGGACTGCCAGCGGATCTTGGTTCGCGGGTCATGCGAAAGAGGGCGCGCTGGGGTGGATCAATATCTAGCCACCCTGCCCACCCCTTCCTGCTGCGGCCCCCTCCCCCTCTTCGCGGCTTCGCGGACGACACCCCTCCCCACCCCTCCTCCCCGGCTGGCTCGCTGGCTGGGACCGGAGAAGCTCTGAGCAAATCTCTTTAAATTAATATCCCAGAAGTTGTGATGAGCAGCTGGCCGGCATTCCCTCTAGAGAAGAAAATTGTGTTGTGTCCAAACTGTGGCGAGAAAAAATAATAAAGAGAGATAGGCAGAGAAATTAAGGCAAGTCGAAAGTTTGAGACTTATTTATTTCCATTTGCTTCAGTTTATATGCAAAACGTTCTTCTCAAATAATAATAATAAAAAATATTCACCAGACTTTTTGAAAAGAGAATCAATTAATTTGACAAAAAATGTAAGTCTATGTACAAGCCACAGAACAAAAATAAAAAAATAAAAAAAAAATAAGGGGGTTTTAAATTATTACACAAACACTGCTTTGTGGAAACAAAAACAAAAAAAATAGTAAAGAAAAACCAGCAGTATCCTATGCAAATCTATGGGATATTATTTACCCCTGGCTATCGGCTATTGCACCAATGACACAGTTGTCAGAAACATCGAAAGCCAGAACATCAACTCATCCACTCACATTTTAATCACATCACATGAAAAGAAGTGCTAATGTACATCTGCCCTCTACCTCCTCCACCAAACATTCATTTTTACAAGTTTCTTTTCATTTACATCGAAATAATTACCAGACAAAATTGCATCCAAACACCAATTTCAGGCACAGCACCTAAACTTTTTAGTTTTATTCTCCCTCTGTTTTCAATACATATACTCAGAGGAAGAGCTTCACACAGGAAACATCATTTTCAGTAAACGCATATATAAAAATATTTCATCCAAAACTTTGTGGACTAAGGAGTGCAATGTTATGACATTGAACCCTAAGAGTGCTAAGGCTCATTTCCTTTTTTTTTTTTTTTTTAAATGAATGCAAATCACAAAAGTGCATGAATACTTCGCATATTACAGATCTTTACAGCCAGTAATAAGTAGAAGAATGACTGCACATCAGTTATACATACATAAGTCTAGGCTATTTATTAAAATTCATACGCATAAAATGTTGAGTATGAGGACATTACAGAAAATTTTCAGCACCATGTGTGACAAGACACTTAACATATTTGTCTTGAAAATTAGTAGTTTGACACAACTTGTTTGTTAACTAAGATCACCACAAATCATCGCCACTTCAAAATGCTTCAGAAATTATTGCAGAATGGAAGGAAACAATTTGTTTTCCACCCTTCAGAAAAAGCAATTGTGTCAAACAGTTTTTCAAGAACGTACCAAGAAGCAATGTAACAGCTTTCTATTGAGTACTTCTCTTGTCTTTAGACTGAAGAGTTATGGTAACTAGAAATACATAGATTGCAGTTTACACCATTTAGTAATAGATCTACCATGCAGACCAACAGTCAATTTTAAGACCTTCAACAACTAATACAGTTTTTTACATTGTTTCACATTATTTAGTATTTGTACAGAATAAACAAATTTAAATGAAGGTAAGCTGAACTTTTATCAAAACTAAAATAAAATGAAATTGTGTACACAAAATGAAGATTGCGAGAAAAAGAACCTCAAAAGAAGTCTACTTCCTTGCAGAAGTAGGTAGTGACCTCATCAAAGAAAATGATTAGTTTCTCTAGCACACTGAACTACCAACCTACAAACATTTTTCTCTCTACTTGTTTGGCTTTTGCTATTAAAGAATACAGAATACAGTAGTGACAATGGCGCCCTAACATTATTGATGATAATTTTGAGTTAATAGATGGTTTAGTACATCAGGCAAAGTAATATAAATGGAAGACATTGATGTTGTGACTGTTGATGTTGTGACAAAAAGAGCAAAAAAAGACACTGACAAAGAGAAAGAGAGAGAGAGAGAAAGAAAGAGACAACAAAAGCTTCTGAGCTGGGCTTCACCACACAAGTCCAGCTAGAAGATATGTCAGGTGACCTCCATTGGCAGGGAGTTTGTCTTGCGTACCAACTGACTCTTATCTGAGCATACGTCTTCTGATGTGTCGTCACTAAAACAAAGAAGAATTCCAATATTTTTCTCAAAAATATATTTTAGGACAGTTCCCTTATAGCTCAGCTGTGTTGCAGCACGCACCTTTTCATCATATTTTCCCTTGAGGTAACCTTCTGCGGGACAGCTGCCAAGTTCACTTGCCTAATTAGAGTGGTGGCTGTCTCAGAAGTACTAGCGGACGGCTGGAGAATGTTCACGGAAGATGTTGCTGGTGATAGAGCAACTCCAGAAGCAACTCTAGCATGCTGAACCAGGGTTATTTTACGACTTAAGGCCAAGGATGTAGATGGACGAATACCCGCAAGATTACCACCAATATCTGCAACAGACAATAATAACATTTCCAGATTTAAAAGGTACAGATTGGCATAAAAAAAAGTACACAAACAAAAAAATTTTAAACAAAGAAATAAAAATTACTTAGCCAATTTGGTATACCTTAAAATTTGCAGAGATCTTGTGCAATGTCATGGATAACTATGTTATAAGTAGTTCAAAGGTCTATACCACTCTAAATAGTGTTCACAATTTTAAGCTATAAATAATGGAACATCTGAGAGTAATGAAGACTCAATTGTTTCATCATGAAAATTGTCATTGTCAGAGAAACAGATTGAAAATTCTGATGAGCAGATAGAAATATTAAAGCCTCCATTTATGGAATTAAAGTGTTCTGATAACACATTTTTAGCAGTCTACTCATCTCCGAAAGTCATCAGTTCTGACAAATGACATAAACAAACTACAAAGGCCAGAACAGCCAAATAGCTTCCCAATACTTTCCTAATAGCAATCCTGAATGAAGAGGTAATCAGTGAACCTGGATAACGAAGGTTCAGCTACATAAGAAGCGAAAATAAGGCATAGGTAACAAAATATTTTAGGAGAAAATCCAAACAGTTAAGATTGAAGTAACATAACACAATAAAACGAACAGATAACCTGTCTAACTACAGTGAAACCCGTTACATCGGAGCAGCAATTAGCATATTTCTATTTGCATCAAATCTTTTTTTTTGTCTGCGGGAGATACATAATTTTAACATGGGATTTTTTATTTGGGTATCAATGGATTTCACAGCAATTAGTCGTGAGGTATGTAGTTTGGAAGCATTAAGGCAGTGTTCTAAAAAGAGTGACTGTACACACATGCATACAGTTGCAACAGCCTCAGTCTTTCTAGTATTAGATAAAGCCATACATTGGTCTAAAGGAACCATTGAACAAACAAAACAATAGTAATAAATATTTTTTATTAACCTTACCTCATTACAGTTTTTACAAAAATAGATTGCTCTAGGGTTGCCAGCATTTTGAAGGACAAGCCCTTTATCAAATTATGCCTTAATATTTGTACACTGTCCTTCAAATCACTTGCAATCCACAGCATTTAGTACTAATTTCTTTTCTTTTGATAACAATGATATACCATGCAAAATGGCTGCTACATGCAAATCATAAAAACAAAATCCATATGGAATTTAGAAAATTGCAGGATAAAAGCTTCAGGGAGTCAGCTATAACTGCTGTTTCATCTCTTCTGAGGGTAAGTATGCACAGAAAGCACAAAAGAGGGATGAATAAAGGTTGAGAACCAATATGATTCAACATAGTAGGTACGTACACACATGCAACCAGAAGGTAACACAGCAACTTTGCGCTTAATGTAGATATGCCAACACATGCATTCAAAGTCGGTTGACTACAAATACTGCCATCTTAGTATTATCTGTACAAAGGTATAAAAAAGAGGGTATTGACACCAAACTGCAGCATTGATTGTAAACATTATTTTGCAAATAATATGAAACTACAAATTATATTTCACAGAATAAAATCATTTTTTTCCTTTTTCAAAGAAAAATATACTTTATAATGACCACAATGAGATCAAAATTCAAGTTCATGTGATAAGGAAAGAAAATAACTTGGCTAGGAAAGTTTCACAGCTAACCAAGTCTTGAAATACCTAATAAAAAAAGTTCTCAGCCTCCATGTTTCACTCAAGAAGTCATTTTATTACTATTATAATTATTGATAGAGAAATGGCTCTGTCAGAGTGAACCACAATACTGAAATTGACTGAATTTCTAAAAACTTGGCGACCCGAATTATAAAAGATTTCAAAGATGAAATGTCAACTACTCTATCACTTTCCGCAAGTTACAAGTAGAACAGTGAAAACAATGCAAGGTAATTTCACCACATTTTTTTTTCTTACATAAATTTCATGAGTAAAAAGTGCATGGCACTGTTAAGTTAGTTTATCAAAATCCGACTACAGTGTAATAATCACCAAGAACTGTATTAACCATTTCAGAGACGTGAACTACAGCTATTATCAGGAACTTTAGTTCCATCCCATGAAAACTTTACAGAGTGATGTCAATTTATAAGCTCAGTTTGGGATTAAAGTACCCTATGACGGACGAGGTAGATTAAGTGGGGTGGAAAATCATTTTAAAAACATCAACAAATGAACAGATTTAACAGGGAGTAAAAAATGATCACGCTGTTCTTTATGAGAACTGCTACATTAATTAAATAATGCTACCTCATGGTAGGTAACTTACATTCAGCAGAAGCTGCTGAAGGTAGAGGTCCATTGCTGAGGATAACAGTCGATGTTCCAGCCCCGGCTGTTCGGTGAACTCTGCTGCCAGTCACATTGTCACTATGGTTCACTACTACCACTGACCCTGAACTCTTGCTACCCACATCAATGTGGTTCCAACTCCCATTACCAGTCAAACACTGATTCAATGAAGTAGATGGATATGGTGGTGGGGGATTTAGCCTTGACACTGATACACTTTTCCGAATATTTGTCTCTCCATTACTTTGTGGTATTCCTCCATTACTATTATCACTGCTATCGCACATGAAGAAGGCGGAACAGCCAACTTGAGGAGGTGAACATGGCCTAATGTCTCCATTCTCACCACATATTGTCACTTCTTGGCTGGGACCATTCAGTTCTGGACCATCTTTTACAACATAGATCCCAGTCCGTTGCTTATCAGATTTGAAAATATCTTTGTCACTTTTTCGTGACAACAAAGCTGATAAGGTAGAAGTGTCAGATGTTACTGGGTTTGCTGACAACCCAGTCACACCAACTTGAGGTCTCTTCTTTGTGGGCGACACAAGATCTGAGACAAGACCATTTCCTCGATCCCAATCCATCTTCTGGTCACTTAAAGAGGTGGGCTCTGTGCTTTTCTGAAAGCCACAATCTTCTGTCACAAAGTCTTGTCCCAACATGGATATACCACCAAAAGTGGGGAAAAGGTCATTACAGTCCAGCCTATCAAGGTCTAATTCCATAAAAGTACTGAAAGGACACGATTCACTTCCTGGTGTTCCACTTTCAACTTCTAGAGTGACAGGCCCTTGCCTGACCTGCAGGCCTTGATCTGCCACACTCTCAGCCAAATCCTCTTCCATCTCAGAGTCTTCATTATCTTGCTTTGGTGACATCTTGGGTCTAAAGTGCAACCTGTTAACAAGAATGTAACAATCAAGAAAACAGCTGAAGGTACAAAAGTACCAAAATTACAAGATTCATGGAAGAGAACGCACCAATCTGCCTTAATTTCACTAAGAATTTCATTGTTATTGTGATTGGTACTTGATGGTGCTACACTGGAGTCTTGGACAGTAAAGTCCAGAGATCTCCAAACATCGTCAAGTTCTGATGGCTCTCGATCCAAAATAACTCTGAAAACAGTTGACATGTTAACTTCACATATAACACAGTGGAGAGCACTAGTAAATAGGAAATAGACAGGGCAAAATTTTGAAGTACACTAAACACAAATTTTACCTTCCCCCTCTGCCCAGCCTTCTTCTCGCAAAGCCTATACATCGAGGTTTTGGTCTATTGATAGAAGTTAGACAGTATCGATACCTTCGATCAGCTGAACCACCTTCTTCCTGGCTACACCATGGCCAATTACCAAATTCACCAGGAAGGGGCTGAAAATTAATTTTAAGAGTGAAAGATAACAGCAGGAAATTTTAAAGTGACATTAACTTGAGGTCTCACTTACTGCATGATAGTTGCATGCTGGATTTCTTCTAAAGGCGAAGGGGCCCTCATCTTCATCTTCCGCCTCAGGAGTGGCATGAACAGGACTAACTGTTCGCATACCTGTGCTTGAGGTGTCCTCCTCTGAACTACCCTGGGTGCCGAGATAACCATCGAGACCTCCACGACTTCCTGTGCCAGTGCCTGCACCACACACAGAAGAGCCAGCTTTGTGCTTTCGCTTCTTGTACTGTCTCTTTTCCTTTCTCGGAACAGCTTCGTCCTAAATATTCAAAACCAAGGACATTACAAAGAGTGGAAATCATGAAAATACCTCCAAACATTTCAAAACTGAATGAGAGTGATTGAATGATCATGCAAGATCCCATTAATAGGTACAATAAATAAAAGGTATTAAAGCCTTTCTTCAAAGGAAAAAAAAAAGAAAGGCTAGATGCAGAAATAAAAATGTTAATTTAAACAATTTGGCAGCTTTGCATTTATTTATGTTGAGCTAATTACGAAGTAATAGAAAGATAAGACACTCCAAGCCATTCTACACCACCACAGTTCATCCAAATCACCTTGATTGGAACCTTGTTGGTCCAAGGGCTGATGCTGTATTGATTTGGGAAGATTGGAGCAAATGCTGGGCGAGGATGCTGGTAACTCTTGAGGGCCGAAACCTCTGCCAATAACTGTCCACTGAAGTCTCCCGCTTGGTACCTGACAAGCATCGTAGAGCTTTCTAGAACTCTTTGCACTGACAAAACGAGCTAAATTATGTCTCATCTCTCTGAGCAAACATGCCAAGAGATGAGAACTACTTGCAAATAAACGTGAAACACACCTTTTTTCATACACTTCAATAGTTAGGTGGAGCAGTTCCCTTTTTGTCTTTTCACGTCTTTTCACCATTTCCAGAAGAGTAACAGCCCGGCTAAGGTCCCGCCGTAGCTTGAGCATCTTTTCATATGATGTTTCATCATTCTTGCGGTTTTTACGTGTTTGCATCTTTTCTGTTCGTCGTCGAAAGGCAAGATACGGATTGTTTGCAGCAGCTCCAACTCTCAACTCAGTCTTCACAGTGGGAATAAGAGGGCGTTGCTGAAAGTTTAAACAAATTATTTTAGATAAGGTAAACGGCATACAATGCAAATAATAAAGATTGAAACAACAAATAAAAATTACCGTTTTCAATCTCTTTTCCAACCAATAATCGTATACAGCTATGATAAGGTCATCATCTTCCTTCAGGAGAGACTTTGCATCTGGAAGAGTCACAACTGACTGCCCACTACTTTTTTCCAGACGATCCAACATCTCTTCGAACTGTTTACAAATAAAAATAATTAATACGCAAGTTCCACAGTGTATAACTTAGAAAATATTGTAAAAGACACACCTTCAGAGGTGTGAGTTCTAATTTTTTGGACTGGGCCTTGATCCACATTTCATCTTCTGAATCCATGTCGTAGTCTGGAATGTCCTGCTCCATGGTAAATGCTGAAATTCAAGAAGATATTATTAACATATTGTTAACTATCAATTGGTTCACTACAGTAGATTAACCAGAGAAAAACAATTTACTTACGTTGAACGTGAATAAGTTGCCTGGGCGCTTTGTAATTGGATGGGTACATTCGTTCGTATACCTCGGTCTCTCCCATGTTTTGCACCTCTGGAGTAGGAATGATGAGGCCAGCACATATTGCCCTTTGTAAATGATGCTCCTAAAAAATAGTCAAATAAAAGCGTTAATTCACACATTTAGGTAAACATTGTCAAGAGCTAACTTCTATGAAAGAAACGGCTGAAACTTAATGGGATTATAGAAGTGATTTTCGGCGCTGAACACAAATGAAATCTTTAACAGCCTACTAAAACAGTAAAGAGTACAGTGACAGACCTGTACCATTACCTGTAATTTAATTGTCCAGATGATAAACAAACGTAGGTCATAATGAAACAAGGATAGATTTAAAGAAAGTTAGAAGCAGTAGGTAACAAAATTGGGCTAATACTCAGGTTTGAGGTTAGCAAAGTAATTCAAGGGATACTTGAACCTGAGTATGTAAACAAAACAAGACAATGTAAACAAATCTGAACTGGCGGCAATAAGGTAAAATCTAGTTCGAAAATAAAATGTGACGATTTTAAGCTCATTTTCAGATTTCAAATGAACAGGTTTATTGGATTAAAAAACTAAAATGGACAATACAACATAACCCTATCTGGTCAAAATTTACAGTAGCTTGGTAGCCTAGGCTGAACATTTTTTTAATGAAATGTATCGTTGATCCCCTTATATGTAAGGGTAAAATTGTGTCGGGGAATAAAAAGAGTAGAACTTTGTTTATTTTTAGACACCTTGAACCGCTTTGGCGAGTAACTGCGTCATTTTTGAGGAATCTAAATTGATGAGTAGCTTTGAAAATGTAGGATTGTTGGGTATGGTTTCTTTTTATTTTCCCTCGTAAAAGGGGCGGTGACAGCACAAATCACTGCTAGAAAAACCTTCACAAGGCTTTACTAGTCAGTTTTCAACCTTGAAAATCAAGCTTCAAACTATATTTGGAAGAAAAATTGAGTTTCAAGTTGGTGTATTTGTCAACCGATGCTGCTCCCCGCGGCCTAGCCTGTAAGGCTTGTCATCCAAGATGGCGGCCCAGTCACGCTTCCAGCCAAGTTCCACCATTAAAACTTACACTTTCTTCCTCCTTTTCCATTCCGCTGGGCATTTGAGGGACGGCTCTATTTATTGCCGAATATTCTGGCAGGTCAGGAACCTCCTCTGCCATATAAATCGGCAAGGGCTTGGACGCATCGAGCGCCCTAGCCCTGAACGAGAGCTTGCTCATTTTTGTTGACAGACTATCAACACATTGAACACCAATTTAAAAACCTCTTGTGGGCCGCTTCTTAGGGCCCCGAAGGGTTTAAACCCTTCCGCAATTAAACCTATGACACTCTTAGTTCGTCCCCATCTTGACGGTTAGCGTTCACTCAGTCACAATATATAAAATAACACTTTCAAACATGAATGTAGGACTCGTTTTCACAGAAGGCATCATGGCGGATCCATGCCATTCACTACCAAAATGCAATGCGCGGGAATCGACGCACGTTGTCAGTACTCGGACTCAAATGACCGTCTTCACGAATACTATTTTCACGATATCTAAAGAAGTAGTGTGTGTCTGCTATCGAAGTGGATTGAATGAAACTTTGCGTAATAAAAGTGGTTTGCCGAAAGCAATGCACTGGCCAAGTCCTTTAACCATGACAACTAAATTGTGACTTTCAGCTGCCAACTTGACTACTTCCGACAGCAGTTCGGAAGGATGACCACCGCTGCTGAAAAAGTTGCCCACCGCTCCAACACCGGGTAAAAGAGGAAAGAGAGGTAAAACTTTGCATGGATGCAAAATTTTATTTTTGGCCGAAAGAAGAACATTTTCATGAGGGTTTCACAACTGGTCTAGAGAAAAGAGGTACATCTGACAGTGGACAGGCACCACTGCTCTTCCGGCGGCAAGTTCAAAGGTTTGTAAAACTACGGCGCATTCGGCGCAAAGAATATTTTCTGGAATTTCGAGACACTCGACAAGAAAACCAATAGTGAAAAGCTCAATAGAAGAAGTGTATTAAAAAGTAAAACAAACGTTTAAGAAAACTATCATAATCTTATGAGAAGCTAAATAACATAGCATAAGCTTACACAAGTCAAATTTAACAGAGATAGTACAACATTTACCAGATAGGGTAGTGATGCCACAACTTCCTCATGTAAATGTGGGTGCTCACCCCTATCCCCTCATTAAGCATCACCTGCGAGAATCAGAATAGGATAAAATAAATAGTTATTTTTATCCCACCTGGTATAAGAGTATATTACAGGAAACGAAAAAACAAGTTCAGTTGTAGTGAGAGCACAGTCTTATGAAAATGTTAGGAAGTTGAGGATGCCCCAGATTTGTCTTCAGATTTCTCTTCAGATTTAAGACCTCTGATTGACAAGTCATAAACAATCTGTAAGGTTTCAAAGAAAAAATTAGTCCATTCATGTCACAAAATTTTGTTTAAACCTATTAAACAATGCAGCTAATACCAACCTCTTCAATTTTTTTCACGTCATATTTTAAGGCATCAAATCGCTTACGAAGGCCATCATTCTTAAGATTCAGCAAACGGAAGCCAGAATTTAATTCAGCAACAAATTGAGATACATGAAGAGGACGTTTATAGTCTCCATTTGTGACACTATTGACAGCAAATCTTGCCTAAAATATAAACATTTTAAATTTCATTGAGGATTGTAGAGTAAGAAGTTACTTCTTTTAAATTAGAAAGATGTGCAAAACAAACCAATTCAGAAGCAAGCTGAAGTAATCCCATTAAATAGTCTTCTAAATCAATGTGGAAACCATCTTCTCGCTTAGAGGTAACTGGAAAACAGAAGGCATTACATTTATAAAGAAGAAAGGATCAAGGTGTGCCTTAGACATTAAGATTCAAGCACGTACCGCCAACTATCTGAGCTACATCCTCGATCATAGCCAACTGACCACTTTCAAGGTAGACAGTGAGAGAGGCAAGAAACGCTAAACGCTGCATAGTAAAGCGCCAGTGGTCATGGAATCGATAGTATTGGTCCTCCGGAATAAGTACTGCCAATTTAGAAAACCCTGTTTTGACATCCAGGAATAACTTCCTTGTCAGCGCACAACAATCTGCAACTATAAAGACAAAAAAAACAATGGAATTTACCACATCAGATATGGTGGGTAACATGTGAATGAAGCACACTCACTTTTAGTTAGTCCACCTTCTTGGTGAATAATCTGAAGGGTAGTCTGGATTTCACGGGCCTTCTGATCAATGTCCTTGTTTACTTGACGAATTTCCTGGTAAGCAGATCAGTTAGGTAAGCACACTGCCAAAAGACCTAAGCAACAAGATAAATAAAGTCACACCCGAGGTTGGCTCTCCAAAGCAGAAAACCGAAAGAAAGTTAATGACAAGAGAAGCCTGTGAAATCAGCTTATGAAATTGTAGAGATAAGGAGGAGTCTATTCCTCATTGAACATGATAGTGATTCATCAGACAGCAAACATTTTTGTTCCTACTCATTACAAACTTTCTGAGGGCCTGTGGGCATCTCCAAATCAAGGATTATTTAATCTTAGAAAAGATATTTTGGGAGCCGGCCCGGCACTACACCGAAACCAGATCAAGGAACCGTTGAAAACATACTTCTCTCAAATCCTGCTCGACGTTTATATGCTGTTGAAAAGATGCAAATATGGCACTCATGTTTGATGCCATAGTCTAAACGAGGATCCGACAAATGTTAGACTCTTTCAACAAAAAGCAAATGAAGTCACACGCGGACCGAATGTGATGGAACCATCAAACCATCCAACTATCCAACTGCTGGCAAACAACGTAAACAAAAGTGACAAAAGAAAAGGAGAGACGAGACGAGAGGAAGGAGAGGAGAGCGAAAGGAAGAAGATCGAGACAAGTTTATTCCTGAAGGCGGTGGCGAAGAAGAAGACGAAGAAGAAGAAGCATGGGAGGAGGGGAGGAGGGAAGAGGAGAAGAGAAAACCGACATAAACAAACAGAACTTGCAAACTGCATAAAAACGTACGAATTTGCAATGTTTCTACGTTAAGTGAAGGTTATCTCAACAGTTTTGATGTTTTTGGTGCACCATTATTTTATGTAAGAAACATTTCCGTTAATCACTCTCAATGTGTGTTGTGAACATGTGACTGGATTGCCAATGTATTTGAAATCCCTATCTCTTTCTTTTCAGAATATTTTAGGATGTCCGATAGAAATGCCACAGTGAGCGGAGAGCATTCAAGCCAAATCAATCCTGAAGCGCATAGTCCGCAAGAGATTCAGATTGCGCTTTACTCTCGTAAACAGGCATTCGACTACTTCGAGAAAGCTTATTTTGGACGAGCTTTGGCTCATTTGTTTGTAGCTCTTCGCCTGATTCCAGAATGGAGAAGTGAGCTTCGATTTATGTTTTGGCAAGCGTTGAGTAAGTCTTCAATCAGTAGCAAGAGCCTTATGATGCAATCACTTGTTTCATACGAGATTGATTAATTAGTGTAATTCTCTTTTCATAGGTGGCGGTTGCAAACAATTAGCAGATGAAAACAGATTAGAAGATACTATCAATCTGAGGCAAGAGGCTTCCTTGTTATATCCTGATGATGAAATGATACTTATGGACCTTGGATCAATTTATTTTAAGTATGTTTCTTTTCAGTAATTAACAACGTAGGACAAGCTTTAGAATAACAAAATCTTATTAGATAAGGAACATGAGTGGTGTTTTTGACCAGATGTCAATATGGCATGAAATTTTGGATAGCTTTGCAACGGGCAAAAAACAGAGAAGATACTATGGTTCTTTTATATTGAACTTTATGGCAGTCAACAAAGGACTGAGAGTAGGATTTCTAAATGACCACCAGCCTTTCCTATCATTGAAAGATTCACTGGCTCTTGTAGAAAACCTCAAAGTCAAGGGTTTAATTAAGCAAGATGTCAGTGTTCTAAATGTAGGGAACCGAGAAGTAGTATTTGTTAACACTAAAGGCTTACTCAAGTTTGCAACAAGAGAGCAATCTTCATTCAGACTTGTGGGGGATGTGAATTCCAGTCTTTGTCTAGTACCTTATAATTCTGATGTTTATGCTAAAGTAGAAGCACTGATTCACAATTGTCTAAAAAATTATGACACAAATCCATCAGATCTAGTTCTCCATCCTACTGAGGACATATCTGGTTCAACATTGCTTGGCATATGTCTTGGTTACCCAATTGTCTATTTGTTTAGACCTGATATGTCACACCTAATTGAAACTGAGAATTTGGTTGTGTATGAGATTCAGACAGTCTCAAAAATACCTTCGTTTCAAAAAGTGCAATTGTTCAGTTTTTCTGTGCCACAGTGTATTCATGATGATGTAAAGCATCACATTGATAATTGGCATCAAATATTAAGTACAAACATTTCTGATTTAAAATGTATTGAAAGAGTTTTGCTCAAGAAAACTAACACTTGTGCCAGTAACATTGCTTTTTAAACTTTCTTCATTTATGATAAAATATCTTCAAAATCTGAAAGTTGCATTTAATTTTGACTGCCCTTAACCACTAGATCTTCACACTTCCACAGGTTAGATGATATTGAAAAATCTCTTAAGTACTATTATAAAGCCCTTGAATTGTGCCCTACATTTTTACCTGCATCTCGCGCAATACAGTCAATTCATAACAAGCAAGTAGAAAGATGGCATTTTAGGATGCTGAATGACACCGATAGGAATGAGGCTTATAATCGGGCGATTGCTCATCTAATACAGAAAGGCTTTTCTTCAGTGCTTGATGTTGGCACTGGTACTGGTATCCTAAGGTAAGATTTTTCTACTTTTTTATTGTGATCAACCACATGTCTGAACTACAAACATCATCTAATCATTTTTATTTTCTCACTTTAATTCAGTTTATTTGCTGCGAGAGAAGGTGCAGATAAAATTTGGGCATGTGAATCAAACCCATTCATGTTCAAAATTGCTCAGTCTGTACTTGCTGAAAACAAACTCTCTGAGAGGGTGAATCTGATCAACAAGACTTCCAGTTCAATCCATATACCTTCTGATATTCCTCAAAAGTAAGAAATCTTCAACCAATTTTGTTTATTTAAAAAAAAATGACTCTAACATAGATTACCAACCCTTGCCTTATGTGTTCATCATTTTTTAATTTCAAAAAAAATCCAGGGTTTCTTTATTAGTTACTGAGATATTTGATGCTGGTCTCTTTGGCGAAGGAGTTCTACCAACACTTATAAATGCCTGGGAAAATCTCCTCTTGCCACCCTTATACTCTTCAGAAGGATGTGATGAGCCAAACAGCAACCAAGCAGTTGTGGTACCATTTAGTGCAACAGTGTGGGTTGCGGCAGTGCAATGCATTGATATTGCAAGGAGGTACGTGGTTTCCTCCTTGCTACTAAACTGATTCCCAAAGTTCTTTTCACAATTTTTTGTACTGGTCTTTCTTTCATTTAACCTTCTCATTTCAATTTTCAGACATAGGTTGTTACCATCTGCTTGCTTATGCAGAAAAACTAGAACCACTGTTCTTTGTAGGAAGAGTAAATCTGACACGATAGATTTCGGTGCTGTTAAACTCTGCAAATTTTGTGAGGCTCCACTCGATGAATTACATCAGGACAGAAGAGACCTCAATTGCTGTCTTGATGATGCAAGTGTAGTGCTCAATGCATCCGAACCATATACAACTGAGAACTTGGAGCATGTTCCTTTTGGCTTTGAACTTTTATCCAAACCACACAAACTTTTGGAAATTAATTTCAATAGTTTAGAGGAGCTCAAGGCTTATAGTCAAAACATGCTCAGGGAAAAGAAAATGACGGTTTTGACAGACACTGCAGGGTCCTGTGATGCATTAGCTTTATGGTTTCATCTCAATCTTGACAATAATGGAACTGTTCTATCAACTGCCCCATTTAGTGAAGTGGGTGTCTTCAGAGGTACTTGTTGGCACCAGGCAATATTTCCATCATTCACTTCAAAGCCAGTTATGCCTGACGATAGTATACTGCTCAATATTAATTTAAAGGAAGGAGCATTAGACATATCAATGGACAGCAATGTCCCAGGGGAATCAAAGAGACTGTTTTCCATTACTGATAATATTTTAGCATTTCTTAACAATAAAACATGGACCAGGGCTTTTAATGCAGCAGCTGTAGATTTTGCAAAAACTGTCTCCCAAATTCCTGTCACTTCAAAAAAAATTATGGATCTAAACCCGTTTCCTGTGTTTGGTTTAAGAATGCTTAGAGACTGCGATCCATCATGGAAGCTATGGGCTAAAGCAGAAACCAATAATGATAAGGAGTTCATCATATCTGTAGCCAGGCAAAATTCAGTTAGTGAAAGTCAGTTAGCATTTATAACACATGAGACTCTAGATCATAATGTGAAAGACGAAAAATTTGAATTTGTTTGTGTAAATGTTGTTGATGCTTCAGGAGAGTTTGCAGAAAATCTGACTGATACACTACCTATTTTACAGTGAGTTGACTTGTCTCTGCCCTACTAGTTAAGATTTGTTAATCTTTGTTTAATTAACTGCTTGTTTTGCATTTCAGAAACATGCTGTCATCAACTGGAAAAATAATACCTCACTCTCTGTCCATTGAGTGCCAACTTATAGAAAGTGAAAGGTTGATGCTAGAGTCTCGCATTGTTTCTGATGAAAATGTCAAAAACTTTTTCATCAAAAAATTCATTAATAATTTTGCTGTAAGTAACTATCTTCTGCAGGATACATAACATCATAATAGTAATGCTACAGCTAAAACAAAAAATTTCTCATCTTTGTGTTATTACTTGTAGGTTGACTATCATCTTGATGTGCCATATCGGAGCCTCAAATGTAGAAAACTTTCCAATCCTTGTGAATTACTCAAACTTGGAATAAGTCCATTAGAATCCAGCACAATTTGTGGTGAGCACAAGCAAAAGATCTCAATTCCGTCCATTGAAGAAGGATCTGTGACAGGTATCATTTACTGGGTAAAACTTTATATAACACCCCGAATGGATCCTTTATCAACTATTTGTCATGACTCGCATTGTAATCAAGTGGTTCTTTTTTCATCTCTCGATGTTAAAGCTCATCAGAATGTAAATTTGGAATGTCAATTTTGGTATGGCATGTTAGATGTAAAATTATCTCTTGCCGAAAGCTGATATGGCCATGCTCAAAGATGGTTATATGCAACAATGCAAAATTATGTAAATTTTTTGAGGACACTAAAATAAATGTCAGTATATGCTTATTTTACCTTATTTATTTGATAAATAACTTGTAGAGGAAAATACCATCACAGATCAAAGCGAAGTACATCATAAATTAACAGCAGTAGATTCACTTTCAAACCAAACTGGAAATGCAAAAAGCACATTGCTGTCAATGTCATGTTCCTTTTTCCCTCAGAGAGTATTATTGAAAAACCACAGCCCAAAACATTTGGTCCCCAAATGCAACAATACAAAAATACATGAGGTTAAAAAAAATACTGATAACATAGATTTCAGTACAGAGTTATGAAATTAAATATATGTTATATACTAAAAGAAGAAGACAGGTTGAAGGATAGAAGTGCATATGTTGAACAGTGAACAATTAGAAAAGGATCAACATGATACTTTCATTCAAACTTTTAAAAAATGTGCATTCTCACCCTCCATTAGAAATGTTTTTAAAAATCAGGTACTGTTTCAAAAAGAAAATAAATTTTTACATGTAGGCTTGATTATAATGAGGATTTTGTTTTAACAAAGAAATTGCATACATCCTCAGCAAGCCTTTCTGGATGGAGCAAATGCACATCATGGGTTCCACGAACCACCTTGTAAGTGTACTTGTCACCAAGTGATATTTCAAACAGCTTTTCAAAATCACCAAAAATATATTTAGCCCCAGCCTTCTCAGTCACTGAGGCTCGCAAGAGAAGCAATGGGCATTGAATCTTACTGCAAAGCATCAAAACTTCTTCTTTTGAAAAATGCATAGGAACTTTGAGCTTCAGGCGTTGGTCAGCAGAAAACGAAAATCCATCTCCATTCCTAACTACCCCTCTAGACAATAATACTTGTGCTGCTTCTCGTGTAAGTGGTATTGGGCGTCCGTCTGTGAGACGACGTAATGCCTCCTCTTCAGTATATGATGGTGGAGATTGAGACATCATTTTTGCCTCGATCTTGTACAACTTCTCCCACCAAGGAACAATGTGCTCACTAATATCAAGATCCGCATTTCGGAATGGCATCACTGAATCTAACACAACTAATTTGGTCACTCTATGAGGGTAAAACGCAGCATAAAGGAAACCTAGCTGACCACCAAAGCTATGTCCCATGTACATGAAATTCTTCCAATTAAAATGATCAACAACACGATTCAGAGACATGCAATATTCAACGAGCGAAAACATGAATCCAGAGGGAAAGTGTGAAGAACGACCATGTCCGGGGAGGTCAATTGAGACGTAACAGAAAGATGATGGCAACATTGGGATGAGATTGTCGAATGTGCTTGCATTATCTTGAATACCGTGAACACACAAAATGGGCAAGGCATCCAAAGATCCCCAAATTTTTCCTGTGGAAATCGTTAATGAGACCAGCTTGCTTTTAATCTGTTAACTCAACACAATAGAAAAAGTGTTACTAACCTGAAATGTGCCCCCAGGGTACTTGAATTGTTAATTCTGTCATTGCAGAAGTTGAAATCTGTTCAGATTCCATTGGGTTAGCAGTATAAACTGAAAACAGGATAAAAATGATTGAAAAACTGAAAGCCCTAGGATATTGAGTGTCTCAACTTCCTGGAATGAGAGAAACCTTTTTCTAGAGCGATGACAGCACTTCCTATTGAACTCTAGTGAGGTTTCACAATGCAGTCCAACCTCAATTCATCAACTAACTGATGTCACAAGTCTAAAGACAGCTTTTAACGTTTCATCAGGTTCGATAACGAACAGAAGTCACTTCAGGAGACGGTCATAGTCTTTGCCGGTTAAAGTCCGTACCCTTGAACTGTGGCTGCCTCCTTTAAAAATAGTGATGAAGAAGCAAATTATCTCTAGCCTAGCAGACGACAGCCGGAGGCGGATGAGGATAAGATGTTCATTTGTTTCGGCGAGTAACCGGAATTCCCTCGTGAGCGGCAGCACTCGTGCTCCTTCGAAATTCCATGATCGGTGAGACAGTAAGTAAAATTGTAGGACAAATAAAGTAGAGAGTGCCAAGTTTGACACAATTATATTTTTATTGAAAACTCAATTGCAACACCCTAAAGAAAACGCCAATTTTACAGGAAGCTGTCACACCAGCACTAGAATATACTCATATGAGTCCTGTCAAAATAGCACTCAATCTGACAAAAAGAGACCAAAAACATAATACATGATAATTATTAAAACAATAAGTAACAAAATAACATTTCGAAATATCTTTCAACAGGTGACATGATTCACTGAGATTGTGTTTTTTGGTAGCGTCATTATCACTTCCTAAAAATTAAAAGTGACACAAGTAAATTATATAAAAATAGGATAAAATCATGAAAGAAACTCAATAATAATTTAGAAAAACATTGACACATCTGTAAATCCACAAAAATAATTATAATACAACTTTAAACCATGAGATTAACATAACTTGCAAAAAAAATCTTAAGCAAATTTGATTCCTAAGTCATTCCCTTTTCTTTCAAGGGTGTGTTTCAAGATGTTTTTGTAGCCTTGAGGAACTGTGGAACAATCTACTACATATGGTACACATGTGTCTTTCTGTATCATTCGTTGTTTCGTCATCTGAACTCAGCTCAACATAACTTGAGTCACAATCACATTGGCCAGAACTGTTTTTGGCCTCAGTTACCTGAGAACTCAAACACTCATGGTTGCATATAGCTTCTTCAGTCAGTAACATTTTATTACAGAGGGTGCATGTAAATATAATAGTGTTTCCACATATTTTAACAGGTTCTATTGTGGGGTATTTACTACGTATGTTATTGACATCTGCTTCTGTTAATTCAACTGGTTTCTTTTTGCTCTTTGGTTTTGGCTTAGGTTTAGGCTGTACAGGTCTGTCACAAACTTTGTTACCAGAAACTAATGTACAACTTGAATGTCTATCCTCCGTAAGATTATTATTCTCACCATCTGGTGCAAAAGCATTTTCAAAAGGTCTAGGTGTAGAAACAGTGTTTGCTATTGGCACAAAAGACACATCCCTCAAATAATGGTCAGAGGTACTGGAAGGTCTTGCCACAGAAGAGGACTCTGACATATAGGTGGGTGTTCCGACATCAGAGGGCCTTGATACTGTAGAGGATGTTGCCACAGAAGAGGGTCTGGATATAGTAGAGGGAGTTGCCACAGACGAGGCTCTGGATATAGTAGAGGGAGTTGCCACAGACAAGGTTCTTGATATAGTAGAGGGAGTTGCCAAAGACGAGGTTCTTGATATAGTGGAGGGAGTTGCCACAGACAAGGTTCTTGATATAGTAGAGGGAGTTGCCACAGACAAGGTTCTTGATATAGTAGAGGGAGTTGCCACAGAGGAGGCTCTTGTTATAACAGAGGGTGTTGCTGCAGGGGATGAAGTGGAAGAAGCAGCAATTGACCTGTTTGTCACACTTAAATTATCACTTTCAGCCTTCTTTGGGGATCTAAATTGAGATTGTCTACGTGTTCGTTTGGTTGGAGGAAGAGCACATGGTTCTGAGTCAGTTTCAGGATAATAATGATAACCAGGCTGGTTAACAGCAGCTTGTTGGTCGAACTGAAGAACAGATCGAAAGGAACGTGAAGGCGTGATTTTCCTTCCAGATCCCATTCGGGCAGTAGCTGATTGTACCGTGGAGTTCTGAGTGCCCATTCCAGGAGGAGTATTCCCATTCCAACCAAGTGAAGGTTGGGTCCTGGAGTCCTCGAGTGGCACAGGTCCAGGAAGACTATTAGTTTCAAGTGACCTTACCACTTGAGGCTGTTTATGGCCACTGCAAAAACAAAAAAAAATTACAACCCACAAGTAACATATTGGAAGCTCTCTTTCACTAATGTAAGGTTACAAGGAAACAGGAAGACAAACCTTGGCTGGTCCACATTGAGAGATGCATTTCCTTCTACATCTTCATCATCACTCAGAGTCAGCACTTCGACTTCTGGCTCCTTCTGCCCAAAGGGATATGCCAGTGGCCCTCCAATAAATTTGATAGTGGGACTAACCGCCTAGAAATACAGTGAAACAATAATATAAGAAGTAATCATTCACACAGCGATTCACAAGGTAGGCAGTTATGGTTTTGACTTTATCAGTTACCCTTAAAGGAGCAGTTTTCTGACCAGACGACAGCCATGGTAATTTATTTTTTAACACTTTTTGAGTTCTTAGGCAAGCTGCTTTAAAATCATAGAATTCCTTCACTTTTGAAACACATCGGTGACAAATAAACTTTGACAAACTGTCATCACGAAGAATCTGAGAAGAAAAAGCAAGCCAAAGAAACAGAAAAAACAGTTAGAACATGTCACAGCAATGCAGAAGCACAGACACGCGCACAAAAATATTTTATAGGTGAAAAGCAGACAAAACTCACAACAACGTCAGGAACAACAGCTTCAATTTTCTCTATACAATCATTGGCAGGCGACGATTCAAAAATATTAATAAAGACTCCGTTTTGGCTGCCACACAGTCGACAAATTAAAGTATTAGCTTGAGACATACTGGAAGAGTAGAAGTTGCGTTTCACTCCATTTCAAAATACTGAATATGACACTTAGGCATTGGGAGGTTAATGTTTGTTTTTTCCTTCCTTTTTTGTTTTTGACGGCTACAACTTGATTTCTCATACTCAGACGGTTCGTAAATTTCTCATAAAAGTGGTGCGAGGTTGCAGCGCCTGGAAGCAGACGACGCAGCTAACAACCGGGCCAAATGCGTGTCTGCTACACTTTTACTCAGGAATATTCTATGCATTTTTGAACCATGTCTGGAAAAACGTCTCAGGATGAAAATGCTGTTTCCGAAGAGCCCTTTTGGAAAAGGACGCTTCGGGTAAGTGTCAAATAGTTGTTTCGATCTTTGTACTGTGTGTGTTATATCAACGTACTAGGTTATGTAACTTTGTATTATTGTTGATCATTGTTCTAGAACTTACCCTTTTCAGCACCTATGTTTTCTTGAAAGGCAGATTGACTCACGAAATCGTTTCTTTTTTACTGTTTTCAGCCGTTTGTAGTATCTTTCCAGAATCCTTGCAATATTCAGTCGTATGAAGTAGGAATTGAAGCTGCAATTGTCACCTACCTCGTCACCAGATTCGCATTGAAGAGACCTCGATCTGCATCTAAATATTCCACGATTGCTCTGTTTTGTGTACCCCTCATTAACTGGCAAGTATCTTGAGGCTTTCTTTTCATTTACATTTACAATTAATTGTGGTATATCCAATTATTGACAGAAGTTCCCCATCATTTCCAGGCCAATTTGTGTAGCTCTAAGGAAGAAAGCTGAGGAATTGATACCCAAAGAATTATAGAGAAAGAACTATAATGCCATAGCTGAATGTTAAATTTTATGTGTCTATAGTGTGCAACGTAATTTCTGCAGAACCACCAACACAAGTTGTGAGTAGACTGGAATGAAAATAAAATCAGTCTTTCCAATTCTGTACATTTAATTTTTCTTAATGTACCAAATAATACTCAGACTTTAAGAGCGTAAAGTCTATGACTAAAGCGTTACAAGATAAAATAAATAATAATAAGCCCCACTAAAGGCATTAATAGATCATAACATGTTTATGACTGAATGCATTATGATCAAATGCAGTAGAGAAACGCACGACAATTTTACATGTCCCGACGCGAGCCTTTTTCTTTCTTCCAAATGCAAACAAGATTGGTATTTGTCACAGCAACAATATATGTCCCATTATAGTTGACCACAACTTTGTTGACAACAACTTCCTTTTGCTCCACCATCCACTGATCGTGAACGTCATTGACTATTGGCCATGGTATTACAGCAGATTCTTGCTGCACTTTATGGGATAAGGTCAACACTTCCTTCAAGTCATACAGCCAGATATTACCAAGATCATCGCCGCAAGTAAGAAGACCAGACACTAAAAATGAAAGTAAAGAAAATAAACTTTAGTTGCCTACGAAAAGTTTCACTTTAGTTCAAGGAGAAGAATTTTAACTTACTCAGAGAACTACCCATGCTCATGAAATAATTGTCGGTTTTGCTGTAGTTTAATGTGTGAGCAGGTTCCACTTTGACGTTACCACCAGCTTCTGCATACTGCATGGCCTCTTCCAAATCCCATAAATAAATGTTGCCATAGAGAGCACATTTGGAAGCTATCATTTTTCCAGTCTGAATAGGCTCCACCGTATCAACTAGCTGATAATCCTTGCTTGAAAGACCAGGCTTGAGAGGGAAATTGAAACGCCACATTTTGATCCTGAAGAGAGAGACAAAAAAATGTATCAAAATAAATAGACCTCTGAAGACTTAAGCGGACAATACTGTAATACTAACGCACATACCTGTCATTTGTAGTTTTGGGCGCTTTTAATACAGTAGACACATTTACATCTGATAAATCAAGACCCCATGCAGCAACGCCGTTTTCAGTAGCTGCTAAAAGAGTTCTACAATGGCGTGAAAAAGACATAGTGAAAATTTCACTGTCAATACTGAGCTTATGAAGACAAGTAAATTTCATCTCATAATCAGGAAACGATGGTTGTCCTATGTCCCAGATGTATACATCACCAGAGCTAAAACCACCTGAAAATAAGTAGAATTTATTTGTCAAATCTTGATAACAAAAGTAAATTAGTACATGGGAAATTAATAACATACCACACAATACTGTCCGAGCCAGAGGATGAAATTGGACAGACGTAATAGTAACTTTAGACGGCATTTTAATCTTTTCTTCAAAGAAACAAACTTGGTGACATGGATGTATGAGATGCACAATGCACTGAGCACCAGCAGCAGCCAATATGTTACTTGCTATTGTCTTTTTGTTGGTATCTTTCATGAAGAGAGTAGACCAGGAAACTGAATAAAATTCTTCCCTCGCCTGTTTTGCATAGTGCTTTGTAACCATGCATTCCTTCTTTACATCTATGACACAGATACTGTTTGCAGCACAAGTAGCTATTAGGTCAGTTGTCTTTTCTGGATAGTCTGGATGAGGTTCAAACGCACAGGCCCAAACCTGTTAGAGGAACATTTATGTTAAATAATGTATCTAGTTGGCAAGTCTTGCATTGGCATTTTAAAAACACACTTACCTTAGTATTACGGTCATTTTTGTCACCTCTAATTTTGGAATGACATTTTAGAAATGTGGCAGGCTCATATTCAAACCGAGGATCAGAGTAGTACTCTTCTGTCTCTTCCATCTAAACCATAAAGAAAGATAATGAAAGAATAATGAAAGAAAAATTAACCAACAGGGAACGGTAAAATGACCGAACTACTTTATCAGTGGAGCAGTTCGTATGATTGACAGGGCGTACCGTGAATGTTTCTATTTTCTACTCGACGGGTTCCAAAACGAATAACAATAACCTCACCAAAAAATACCTACAAGACAAACAACACAAAGAATAAGAAAAGTTCGCGCGAACGAAAAGAAAACAACAGTGACCACCACACGGACACGGAACAAGTATTCGACGAATGTTCGCCCGCCACAGGCAGATGGCTGCCATAAACGCAGAAGAGCTTGAAAAAATTTCGGGCGTATGTACGCTGATAAGGTTGCTCTCATTTTGAGGAACTCTTAAGTTTGAACCGCTGCTGTCTCTTCGCTTCAAGGTTGGCAATGATGGCCGACAGTTGCCGTTTGACACGAGACGGCGCGTGGTCGGCACGACTTTGACGAGCGACGGGTTTCATCAAACGTCAACTGAAGATATACTCCCGAATCAAACCGAATCTGAGTTCATCCTAGGATTTGTGCATCCGTGCGGAAAAATGTACCGCGCCGCGTGCGATGACGGCGAAGACGACGATGAGGCGATGGAGCAGAGCTTGCGCGTGGAGATCCTGCGGTACCTGGACCGGAGCAAGCACCTGGCCAGTCTGGAGGCGGCCGGCGTCCGGTACAAGGACAGCGTGCTCGAGAAGGCGTACGACAAGGGCCAGAACAACATGCCGTCCTTCACGTACGTCGTGGAGTTGGACATGTTCGAGGTCGCTGACGAGTCTGGTGAGCCAAACTACGTTCTGAGTGGGCAAGAGCTGCGCACAGTGGGCCAGAGGACCGGTGGGCAGCCTGACTCTAGACGCGTTTTGAACTCCAGAGTCGCTTAACAGTCGAACCGAGCGTGTGACCCCACCGATGGATTCCTCACACGGAGAGCAATCCGTTGGTGGGGTCACACATTCGGTTAGAGTCCCATTCAGCGACTTTGGAGCTCAAACCGCGTCCGGGATTTTTGACCAACTCCAACGGTTTTCTGGTCCACTGTCCTGCGTGTGTCGCGACCCAGCCGACTGATTCCGACAGTCGTTTCCGCCGCTCTGTCTCTCTCGCATCCATGCGGCACGCCTAGGTACGCCCCACGAGTGCGAGAGAGGCTCGCGGAATCAGTCTGCTAACCCAACAAATAACGCGTTTGCTGCAGACGAGCTGTGCACCGCCATCCTGGAGACGCCCCTGTTCGCCCACAGGCTGTTCAGAGAGGTGGTCCACTGCAGCCTGGTGACGCTGTGCCTCTTGCCCACCGTCGGCCTCGACCAAGTCCAGGCAAGTGCCTTCAGCTCGCTTCATCTCGCTTCAGCCCGGCAGGCGAGCGATGCAGAAGAGTCGCTTCGTCGCTCTCGCACACTTGGGCACACTTGGGTCTCTCAGTAAGGGTGCGAGGAGGGCAGAGCGACAAACCGCCACTCACTCACCGACACCCACTCACTCATCGACACTCACTCACTCACTCACTCACTCACTCACTCACTCACTCACTCACTCACTCACTCACACACCACACACACACTCACTCACTCACTCACTCACTCACTCACTACACACACACTCACTCACACACCCACTCACTCACACAAGTCGCTACGCCACTGCCCGAAAGCATCAGCCTCCGAGTGTCGCTGCAGGTGGTGCTGCGGGTGAGCGCGCTGCCGGCCGAGCAGTGCCTGCGGACGGACGGCGCCAACAGGCGGGCCAATCCTTCGGTGCCGCGGCTTTTGCTGCTGCAGGGAGTCGTCGCGGCCGTCACCCCCGCCACCAAGTACACGTAAGCGCCCCACAGTGGATTTGCCAGAAGGCCGGTGGAGGCGGTCAAAATCCCAGTCGCTAAATGGGACTCGAACCGAACGTGTGACCCCACCAATGAATTGTTCTCCGAACGAAGAATCCATTGGTGGGGTCACTCGTTCGGTTCGAGTTCCATTTTGCGAATCTGGAGCTCAAAATGCGTCTAGAGTTTTGGCCGCCTCCACTGGTTCTCTGGCCCACCGTGCACCCCCACCCCCAAAAAAAAAGATGTTGAAAAGGTAGCTAGCCAGTGTTTGAAACCGCGACGCGACCTGTGCAGCCGGAGCGCCGTGTCGCGGTGCTGCAAGGCACTTTGCCCCGGGTCGGCCGGTCAGCGGGTGTGGGGCTCCACGGCGTCGGCGCGGCGCTGCCGCTTCTGCAACGGCCCCGTGGACGAGGTGCCGCGCGGCCGCGACGTCGGCGAGCAGGTGCTGGCGCAGATGGTGCGCCCGGACGCGCTGGTCCTGGGCGACAAGCAGCCCTCCGTCCACCACCCCGTCATCGTGAGGTTCGCAGGTGCGTGCCGCCCGGGCAGTCCGGGCACAAAGTCGTAAGTACGTTGCTCTAGTATGTTGGCAGCCAACTTCTGCCACGCCGCCGCTGAAACCGTCTCGCTGGATCCGCCCTGGCTCCGAGTTCAAACACCACGCTGCACAGTGGCCGGTGCAGGTGGCCAAAACTCTGGATGCGTTTTGAGCTCCAGAGTCGCCAAACAGGACTTGAACCGAACTTGTGACCCCACCAATGGATTCTTCGTCCGGAGAGCAATCCATTGGTGCGATACGTTCGGTTCGAGTCCTATTTAATTTAGCGACTCTGGAGTCCAAAACCCGTCCGGGATTTCGACCGCCTCCACCGGCCTTCTGGCAGGACTTTCAGGCGCTGCCTCTGTTCCAGACGACCTGGCGCGAGCGGAGTTCCTGCAGCCGGGCTTCCGCTACGACGTGGTGGTGCTGGCCGGCAGCGGCGGCCACGCCGAGGCCTGGGGCGTGCGCCCGTGGCTCGACGGCGCCACCGCCCGCGTGCACCGCGGCCTGCGCTCCGCACCCCTGCCCGCGTCCGTCCAGGCCGTGTGGCTGGAAGCGAGGTGCGCCTTGGCAGACTGATTCCTCGCACCTTTACGGCACGCCCTATGAGTGTGACAGAGACAGCGACGAAAACGACTCTCGGAATCAGTCAGTCTCGAAAGCCGAGCGCAGCGTCGACCCTACAGAGAGAGAATGCATTATTCTCGAACGATTCCGCTGCCCGCTCTGTCTCTCTCGCTCTCTTGGAGCGTGCCGCAGCGGTGCGAGAGAGACGGCGCGGCAGCAAATTCGCTCGACTGATTTGGAACTGATGTTGACAGCGCCGCCACCGACTCCCCCTGGGCCTTCGCCGTGGCCCTCGCCTCCCAGCTCGGCGGCGGTAGAGGCGGCCGCTACCCGGCGCACGCCTTCCTGCACCTCAAGCTGGGCATCTTGCTGAGCCTGGCGTCGCAGGTACGAGGCAGGCTGGGCGCAGTGGGCAGGAAGACCGGCGCCGGCAGCCATAAGTCCAGGTGCTTTTTGAGCTCCAGATCATTTGAAGTCCGGCCAGCAACGGCAGTGTGAAGCGCCTGCGGGGTAGGCAATCCCAGCGCTTCAGGACTTGCGTGCGCCGCGGGTTGCCTACCCCGCGATCCGCAGGCGGCGATCCATCCGAAAGGGTGCTTCGCTCTGTCTCTCTTGCACCCTGCGGGACGACCCGTGTGTGCGAGCGAGACGGCGACAGGACCCTCCGCAGGCTGGCAGGCGGGGCACAGTGGGCCGGAAGACCAGCGACGGCAGCCAAAATTCTAGACGCGCTTTGAGCTCCAGAGTCGCCAAACGGGACTCAAACCAATAGGTGTGACCTCACCCATGGATTCCTCGTTCGGAGGGCAATCCATTGGTGGGGGTCACACGTTCCGTTCGAGTCTCATTTAGCGACTCTGGAGCTGAAAACGCGTCTGAGCGTGCTGACCGCGTTCCTTGCCTTGCAGGGCTTGGACAACCCACCAGTGCCGCTGGTGGCGGTGGGCAGGGACCCCGCCGGCCAGGCCCTGCTGGCGTGGTGCTCGCGGCTGGCGGACCGCGGCCTGGTGGTGGACAGCGTGGCGGCCGTCGCGCGACACACCGCCGCCCCGACGCTCGCCGGCGAGGTCAAGGGGCCCTCCAAGACCAAGGCTTCCGGCGGCGCCCCCGGGTGCGCCTGGTTCTGCGCGGGGCCGCTGGTGCTGGCGCGGGGCGGCGTGTGTCTGCTGGGGAGCTGGGACAAGTGGCGTCGGTCCAGCGCCGCCACCTGCATCACCCAAGGTGAGGCTGCATCCTTGCCGTGTGTGTGTGTGTGTGTGTGTGTGTGTGTGTGTGCGTGTGTGTGAGATTGGCGTGGTTTTCCTTGTTGAGCAGCGCTGGAGGGCGGCAAGGTAACACTGGAGAGGCGCGACGTGGCCGGCTCGCTGCTGCCTCCAGACGACTCGAGTGTGCCGCTCCAGTGTGCCGTGTGGTCGTACTGGTGTCCAGGAAGCTGGGGCAAGGCCTCAGACCTGCTCACCCTCAAGACGATCCTCAAGTTGGTATTTGCTGCACTCAGATGGCTAGTTCATTGACATAATTTCACCCGTGCAAATCCATTTATCCTGTGTTGTGTGATACTTTTGACAGTACTTTGGGAGCACCCATCCTGGCGGAGGCTGTTTGCGATACGGAAGTGGAAGACATCTGCCAGCACCTCATCAACAAGGCCCAACGTCTCCAGGTGTCACCAGCTGTTTCGGAGGGTGAGATGAAAGAGGTAAGTAGAAGCATTATTTTTAAACATATTAATCAACTGAAGTAAGGTGTAAGCATATCCTCTGAAATCTCTGTACCAGTTCATCACTCTGGTGAATGCTCAACCCATAACTTTGACAGATGAGGCTACTCGGCTAATACGGGATTACTTTGTAGCCAGCAGACGAGTGCGCCCTAACTGCCTTCCAGTCACAGCTGTCAGCACGATGTGAGTCTTCTATCTGATAATAAACTTATTGCTCTCGCTGCCTGATACTTAACTTAACTTGAGTCTCCTGACTTAACTTGTGTGTTTCTTTCATGCTAAGCGCCGCCATGGCAGAAGCTCATGCAAGAATATCTTTACGAGTGGAAGCAACATGGGCAGATGTGTTGCTTGTTGTATGGATGTATGAAGAAGCTTTTGCTGCTCTATTTGGTCCCTGCCTTATAAGCCCACTACCTGAAATTTGTGCGCAACCTCTTCTCGCAGACCAGATTATGTGTCAGGTACGGACTGCAGACACTACACTTGGTCCTAAAATGCATTGTTTAAATCCTAACACAGTATATGATGATTTCTTTTAGATGGACACACGTTTGAAGAGTATGAAAGTTTGGCTTGAGAACTTTATCAAGTCAATTGTTCTAAGCAGCCTTCGAGCCGAGAATGATGAAGAATGGGTGTGAAGAAAATTTTGAAAAGAAACCCTTAAAAATAGACTTTCATTTTATTTATCAGAGGACCAGACCAAAATATGATGTACTACCAGTATTAGAAGCTTTATTACCTGACCACACCATGGCCTTTTAAAAATTCAGAACGGACGCAGCCAATAAATATACAAGACCACTATTGATTTTAATGTATTGTCTTTCTTGAAAGTCCACTACCTACTAATCCAAGGCAATCAAAATGTTTCCTCAGTACAAACAATAAATACACATCACATAAAAAGAATCACAACAATTAAAACTCAAAACATGTCAAATGATAGCAGGTAGGAACTTGCTGAATAGTACGGAATGAAAAATAGGATTCAAAAAGGCATGACTAGTCAGTACCAATCACAAACAAAAAAAATCAATGGAATTAAAAAAATCTAACTACCTATGTAGGCTAGTAGGAATACATGAAGTATGTACAGTTGGTTATAGTACTATATTGATATACATTATATATAGTACAAAGGATGGTGCGGTATATAAATACTGGTCAGGATTACAAAATTAAAAATTAGTCTATTACGTCACTTCTAAACACAAATAATCACAGAGCATACAGAACCCAATGTAGCTTCACAAGAAAAAAAAAAAATAGAAGATAAAATAAAGATAAAAAAAGTTTGAATAATCACATATTCACTGGGTGGTTACAGTTCAAAATAAACTAGTTGCCAATTTTTAAGCATAACATGGTTGTTTGCTGAAAAATTTTGTACGTTTTAAGAACACAATGCCTAAGATAAGGGTGTTGCTAAGTTTATAAAGCCGTGCTTAATAATTCCTTCATGCACCTTTTAAAATTTGAAACAACAGTGAAAATAATTCAGAATCACACTCTGAGTAAATATGTTTCAAAAGTGGATGTCTTTTTCACACCCGACTCACACTTGCATTAAATGAGTGAGTACAAGCGTAAGTGATTTAATCACTCTTGGGAATAATTCCATTTAACTCTGGTTGAAGGTACTCATCTATGACAGCTGATATCATTTCTTCTAAAATGGCACTTACAGCAGCAGAATCCCTGAAATGAAGACAATCAATGATAACAAAGGTGCAACTGAAATTAATGTCAAAAGAGCTAAAAATTCTAGTATAAATTACTCACTTTAAAGATCGATCAGCCACAAGTTCAGAGTAATACTTAATCTTTGGTTCCGTACCACTTGTTCTCAAAGTTACAACAAGACCATTCTCAAAGGAAAAGGTTATCATTTGACTGGAAGCAGACGTTGGCAACAAAGGTTGCCCATCAGGTCTTGAAGAATCAAATCCAACTGTCAGATCCACAACAGATTTGACTTTATACTTTCCCTCCAAGAGCCCAGTTGGATACTAAAATGCATAACCACAAAAAAAAAAAAAAAAAAAAAAACAACTTGACTCATTGTGCTCACTAAACTTTCAAAATAATTGAAAAAGTATTTGGTTTTAAGTAAGTTACCGTTTTGGGAGCGTTTGCAGTATTGCGAAGTCTTTCGAAGATTTTCTTGGTCACTTCAGGCTTGTGGCAAATATAGTATGAATTTTTACAAAGATGGAAACCATACTGGTTGTATACTTCATTGAGCTGATCATTCAACGTTTTACCCTCCTCCTTCAAGTATGCAGCCAATTCTGCGATGTGAACTCCAGCAGAGACACCATCTTTGTCCACAACAGAAGTCCCACACATGAAACCAATAGCTTCCTCAAATGCAAACAGTACCTCCTTCCCTTTGGACATGAGCTCACAGGTCCGATTACCCATCCACTTGAAGCCAGTCAGGGTTTCCTAGAAAGAAAACAAGGGTCATCTTAAGTAGATAAGATAAATTACCTGAGAACTATTATCATTATAATTTTTGGCTCACCTCAAAATTGAATCCTTCTGTCTCTGCCATAGTCTTAAGTACCTTTGAGGAGACTGTACTACTTAACATGTACACGTCAGACAATGGTTTATTTGGATTCTTTTCTCGGTAAGAACGCAGAAGCCACCATCCTATCAAGGCTCCCAGTTCATTTCCAGTGAAAGTCTTCCATTCATCACCACTGTCAAAAGCACATGAGAATAATAAATACATCATGCCCATACAAGTACAAGATTTTCCACAAGAAAGCTGGAAACTCACACTTTTTCTGCCACTGCAAGGCGATCAGCATCAGGGTCATTAGCTAATATGATGGTGCTTCCATTGGCATTGGCCGTTTTTATTGAAAGTTGCAGAGAACTTTTACCCTCCTCGGGGTTTGGAAATTTGACTGTAGAAAATTCAGGGTCCGGATCTTTTTGCTCTTCTACTGCAATGAAAGGCTGCAGAAAAGAGAACAAAATACCGGTATTGTTTCAATTCAAAACAATATATAACATTGAAATAGAATGAGGTGTTCAACAAACCTTGAAGCCTGCAATGTTGAATGCCTCTTTCATGTACTTATATCCCACACCATGCATAGCAGTGTAGGTAAATTTGACAGAAGTCTTGGCATTCACATCTGCAGAAAGTAAGGCCTTCTGCAACTGTTGATAATACTCTTTCATGACTTGACTAAGAGGGTCAATAAATTTTGGATTGTCAGCATTCAATACAGAACTGTCCCTTGAGTCAACCCATGGAACCTGGTTAGCGAGGATAGATTCCTGAATGCGCTTGTCGTGTGGTGATATGATCTGTGAAAATAGAATAGGATTAAGCAAAAATTTTAATTGACCAGCAACAAAACTCCAATAGACATTTACTAGCAAAGTTCTATTTAATATTTGTCAGTGTCTCACCTGAGCTCCATTGCTCCAATAGACTTTGTAGCCATTATCATCCTTGGGATTGTGGGATGCAGTTACCATGATGCCTGCTGCACACTTAAAAAGTCTCACCCCAAACGCCACAAAAGGAGTTGGACAAAGATCAGAGAATAGATAAACTTTGACTCCTTGATGCAAAAAAATGGTGGCTGTGAGATCAGCAAACCTGCAAACCAAGAGTGTGGTACTTAGACATTTTGGGGATACTCAAGTAATTCAGATAATTTTTGAGGCACTTACGTTTTGCTGTTGTATCTTCCATCGTAACCAATAATAATGCCTTTGTCCGCAAGGTCAGGGAAGCAGGTCTGCATGTAGCGGACCAGGCCCTGTGCAGTCTGGATAATAGTCACTTCATTCATACAGTTGAACCCAGGTCCCATAACAGACCTCAGACCAGCAGTACCAAAAGTGAGTCGTTCCATAAAGAGATGCTGTAGCTTTTCAATCTCTTTATCTTGTATCAGTTGTAATGTTTGGTTTTTATAATCTTCCCTCTGTCACAGAAAGCACATAAACATAAGTAGAGAAATATTCTATGCAATCTTTGAATGGAGAATTAATCACTCATACCTTTTCCCATTCCACATATTCTTTTATCTTTCCGTCAAGGGCTGGAATGCCTGTTTCATAGGCTGGAAGCTTCATTTTGTGTCAAATCCTGCAGAAACACAGCAAGAAGGAACAGTCTCAAATCAGTTGCGCAGGGAAGTTGCGTCAAGTGAAGCCCAGTGATAACCTTGAAATGGAGAGCTCTGAGAACCGCCAACAGTCTTCCTCACAAGAAAATAAAAAACATAAAAGCAAAGACCCCCTCCAAGTCAATGCTGTGACAGTAGACTATGGCTTTATCTTGACACAATCTGATAACCTCTAATGTGTGGGAGGAATGGGCGACAAAAAACATTCTCATGTCAATATGTCGTTAGAGTTCCTCTGTTAGAAGAATGAATTTAAAAATGGAATCAAAGTGATGGATCTGTTCTCCTTTCGAAGAAAAAGCAGGTGTGGTGGGTATGATTCCAAAAACCTCAAGTAGATGGGCAGCTTCTTGACATAAGTGCATTGATATTCACCTTTTTGAACAAAAATATGACAATAAAATTTACTTCAGTCGCAATGGCCCTGAAAATTACAGAAATATAGTCCAACTGTAATTATATGGCTAGGGGAATAAAAATATACATCACTGTCATGTGATGAAGAAATGACTTAACCAAAAAGTAATTGAGAATAACTCACACGAGCAAAAAATAGATACAATTCTAAGTTCTAACAACGTTACAATTTTTAAAATTCGCACAGTGTGACATCTGAGTAGCAAACTTAAAACACAACAACAGTGAAACGGTCTGACGTCTTCCGTCGGTGTCAAACGTTTGGAACAAACGACAAGGGAAACGAATGCCAGAACAAACCAACCTCCAGCACTCAAGCCCTGTCAACCTGAACTCATGGAAACCATCTCCGATTTTCTCACCTCACCTGTAATTTTCCAAAGTACCGACGGCGACGCAACCAAAATAAAAACACAAAGTGCCGACTGCAGCAGCAGAAGAGCAGACGGCGACGGATCGGCCGGAAGTCGGAAGTCGTTTGCGCGACAGAAATAGCGCGAATTTCAAATCGCAGCGCAGGACGAGCGAAACACGAGACGCTGTGAAGCTTTAGCGGCGGCGGCGCGGTATCTCGCTTGTTGCTTCGGACTCGGACTGATCGACTGGTCTAGCTATTCCTGGTCCGAACTGAGGCCACGAACACGAAATCAGCCTCTTCTACACTGGAAGCGGTACGGTGGTGTAGGGAGGAACAGATCAACAAGCCGGCACGCCTACGCGTCTCTCTGGGAACTGATAACCGATTTCCTTTACGGAGACGCGATCAACAGAATCGAGATAGAACCGTCTCTGACGTCACGGTGTGTTGACATGTGTGTCCAGTTAAACGGATCCAACACACTAGCACGGGGAGGCGTGGCTCAGCACCACAGCTTCTCGGTCTTTCTCTTTCTCTCTGAGCATTGACTTCCCGAAGCTCCGCGGTCAAACGCATGCCGTGTGACTACTTCCCTCAAGAAAGTTTACCGCTCGCCGAATCGCTGCCATTTGTGTCCGAAAGTTGGACGGCGCACGGTGGGCCAGAAGACCGGTGAAGGCGGCCAAAATTCTAGGCGCGTTTTGCGTTCTCGAGTTGCTAAATGGGACTCGAACCGAACGTGTGACCCCACCAATAGATTCCTCGTCCGGAGAACAGTTCATTGGTGGGGTTCGAGTCCTGTTTATCGATTCAAGCTCAAAACGCGTCTAGAATTTTGGCCGCCTCCACCGGTCTTCTGACCCACTGTGCGACGGCAGAGAGCGCCTGGCGGTACGCAGCCCATCGCGCACGCGCCTCTGGTCGGTGGGCCGCCGGGCCCGCCCGCCCTTGAACTTGAGCTTGGAAGGCTGGACCACAATTGATCTATGCCATTTCGGGACCTGCCCATGCCGGGCGATTCCGAAGTTGTTTCGCCGCTCTCTCCCTCCCCATTAGTGCAACAGAGACAGAGCGACGAAACGATAACCTGAATCAAGCGGCGCGAGCAGCAAAAATCAAGAAGGCGGGAAGACAGCGTAGATAGCGCACTGTTCCAGAGGCGTGCTCAGAAATTTTCGAAGGGGTAGTCTTGCCATGTTTTTTGCCATCGACGGAATATGTTGGACTTTGTGGACTCGTGGATCTCTGCTTGTTGTTTGCTAGCACATCAAACTCGGTTTTCCAAAGTATTTTTATTTCACATATAAATAACAAAATACTGATCTTAAAATACACACACTGGACTGGACTTTGTCTAACAAACCGCTCTCTAACTCCATTAATTAATATACCTTAAAGTAACGATTTTTTTAAAATAAAACGACTACGCGACGACATCGTTTTGTCGGAGTAGTAATTAAGTGACTCCCATCATTGTTATTTCCATAGAGATGCCAGCTCCAATTTACACTCGAATGTTCCACGGAGTAAAAGTCCCCTTCGCCGGCTCTGGAAACTGTGGGAGGAAAGAAGCACAATTTAGCAGAAACAATATAAAGTTCAATAAAAAAGTCAATATATGTCAAAAAAACATTTTTTTGGTGCATGCACTGAAAATTAATGTTAACTGAGTATACACGCAAATCACTAAAGTGTGCTCTGGGTACAAGTGTGTGCTCAGTACACACTTAAGTGGACCAGAAGACCGGCGCACGCGGCCAAACCTCTATTCGCGTTTTGAGCTCCAGAGTCGCTAAACAGGACTCGAACCGAGCGTGTGACCCCACCAGTGAATTCCTCGTTTGGAGAGCAATCCATTGGTGGGGTCACACCTTCGGTTCGAGTGCCATTTGGAGACTCTGGGGCTCTCCTGGTTTCCTGGTTCACTGTGTAGCCTTACCCGTTTGGTGTAGCGGTCCTCGCAGGCCAGGCGGATGGTGGCGGCGGTGGCGGGCGCGTCCAGGTGGAACCACCCCCGCAGCCCCTCCTCCTCGCGGGCCGCGGCCACGGCCTCGCGCAGGGCGAACAGCACGGAGCAGGCCAGCAGCAGCGGGGGCTCGCCCACGGCCTGGAACACGCGTCGACAAAAAAAAACAGTCAAGCGCCGTGACGCCGCCGTCGGGAATCGAATTAGGAACGTCACTGGCACACGCCTCCACTGTCAAACCAAGTGTGGAGAACTCCTCACTTCCTGGTGCGGAGTGATTCTGCGTACTTGGGACTCGTGGAGTTTGCAGTCTCCACACTTCAAGTGTGGAGTAGCTCACATGGCATGGAGCAAATGCACAGTGGGACGAAAGACCGGTGGTGGAGGTGGCCAAAATTCTAGTGACCCCACCACTGGATTCCTCGTTCGGAGAGCAATCCATCGGTGGGGTCGAGCGCTTGGTTCGAACCCTACGTCGCGAATCTGGAGCTCAAAACGCGTCTAGAGTTTCGGCCGCCTCCACCGGTCCTCTGGCCCACTGTTAAATGTGGGGAACCCCACACCTGCGGAGACTGCAAAGTCCACGCCTCCGCATGTCAAGTACGGCGACGCGGCGTTCTTGGTGCACCTTGGACGAGTAGATGGCGTGGCGGTTGCTGCTGCCCTTGAGCAGGGCCACGTTGAACTCGGCGGGGATGTCGCCGAAGCCGGGGATCTTGTAGGCGCCGGGGCCCCTGGACAGCAGCGCGCCGTTGGCGGCCACGACGGGCTCCTCCAGGACGTAGTTGCCGTAGCCCTGCATGAAGCCGCCTTCGATCTGGCCCACGTCGATGGCCGGGTTCAGGCTCTCGCCCAGGTCCATGACGATGTCCGTGCTCAGCACCTTGTGGTCGCCCGTCAGGCAGTCGATCTCCACCTCGGAGCAGGACGCGCCGTGCGAGAGGTACGCGTAGGCGCGGCCCGTGTTCTCGCGGAAGTTGTAGTTGATTCCCTCAGTCCTGCGGAGTAAAGTTTGACACGTTTATTTTATGGCCTTCTGCTTCGAAACAGAGACCGAAAGGCATTGGGGGCACAGTGGACCAGAACACCGGTGGAGGCTTTGAACAAGGGGGAAACAACTTGAACTTTAGTGTTCGTTTCCCGTGAAAACACGTTGAAATAAAGCGAAATAATCCGCAATAACATGAAAAAACGCGAATTAAAATAACGGTGTACAAAAATTTTCGAAGTTGTTTGCCTCTTACTCGGCTCTAAACGGCTTTCGGGCCTGAGAGAGCCCCAAACGCCGGCCTCTGCTTCCAAAAGCACGGAAAATCGGGAAAGGCGCTAAACCGGCAACTTACGTGTAGTAGCCAGTGGCGGACAGGCTGACGGTCTCGAAGTACGCGGCCCGCACCCAGTCCTCCCAGCGGCCCGTGGGGTTGGCTTCGCGGAACGGCCGCAGCCGCTCCAGGATCTTCTCGCACGCTTGCTGCGCGAGCAACAATCAGCCTCAAGAACTCAGTTTACGTCGTACACGCTTTTTAGGGTGTGCGTACACTGCACAGCGTGCGGGCCACAAGACCGGTGGAGGCGGCCAAAACTGCAGACGCGTTTTGAGCTCCAGAGTCGCTAAACGGGACTGGAACCGAACCCCACCAATGGATTCCTTGTTCGAAGAGCAATCCATTGGCGGGGTCATACGTTCGGTTTGAGTCCTGTTTAGCGACTCTGGTGCTCAAAACGCGTCCGGGATTTTGACCGCCTCCACCGGTCTTCCAGCTCACTGTGCACTGCAAAGAACGGTATACATGCCACAAGTAAACGAGAAATGACAGTGTCCGTGACATTTGCACGCCAAATGTGGCAGGTAAGGGTGCGTATTATGGACACCCTAATAATCGTTCACTGTGCACACTCCACGTAATTGTCGTGTGTTATGTACCCTGATTATAGGGTGCTTTTCTCCTTGAACACTTTCCTAGAGTGCACCCCTCGAGCCCCACCTTGATGGCCATGCCGTTGAGGTCTGACGAGAAGCTGGCGGCCGTGGCGCTGGTGTTGGGCACCTTGTCCGTGGCCGTCTCAGAGATGTGGATGTTGGAGGCGTCAACGCCGAGCGCGCGGCTTGCCACCTGGATCATCTTGGTGTGCAGCCCCTGACCCATCTCGGTGCCGCCGTGCGTCAGCAGCACCGACCCGTCCGTGTACACGTGCACCAGGGCGCCGGCCTGGTTCAGGAACTTGACGGAGTAGGCCACGCCGTACGTCAGCGGCACGGCGGCCAGCCCGCGCTTCTTGTAGCGGTGCTGCCTGCGGGCAAGAGCATCGTCACGACGTTCGGTTTTCTCGGGACATTCGTGCAAGCATCGCCCAGTGGGCCAGAAAAACGGCGCAGGCAGCCATAACTCTAGACGCGTTTTGAGCTCCAGAGTCGCTAAACAGGACTCAAACCGATCGTGTGACCCACTAATGGATTCCTCGTTCGGAGAGCAATCCATTGGTGGGGTCACACGTTTGATTTGAGTCCCATTTAGCGACTCTGGAGCTCAAAACGCGTCAAGAGTTTTGGCCGCCTGCGCAGGCCCTCTGGCCCACCTGTTGAACTGCTGCACGTCGTGGAGCCTCTGGCGGTAGAGTGCCTGCTGCAGCATCTCGTCCCAACAGCGGCGAACCGTGCACTCCTCGACGCGGTGGTGGTACAGCGTCTCGTGCCCGTCGCGCAGCATGTTGAGCTCAGCCACCTGCAGCGGGTCCTTGCCTACCACATTGGCGACGTGCCTGCAAACAAGTGCACTGTTAGTGCTTCCACGGCGACCCCTATCTGCCGAACGCTACTATTTCCTGCCAACCGCTACCCTTTCCTGCCAACCACGACCTTGACGAACAGTACCTGATGATGGTCTCCGCCACGAGGATGCCCTGCGGGCCGCCGAAGCCCCTGAAGGCGGTGTTGGAGGGGAGGTTGGTCTTGCAGCAGTAGCCCGTGAGGTGCACGCTGGGGACGTAGTACGCGTTGGTGCAGTGGTGCATCGCTCTCTCCAACACCTGCAACCAGAGCCGTTCGTCTATCTCTCTCACACTCATGGGGCGTCCCGTATAGGTGCGAGAGAGACGAACTGCCGCCGCACAGAGGGCCAGACGATCGGTGGAGGCGGTCGAAGTCAAAACTCTAGACGTGTTTTTAGCTCTAGAGTCGCTCAATGGGACTGGAACCGAACTTGTGACTCCACCAATGAATTGCTCTCCGAACGAGAAATCCATTGGTGGGGTCACACGTTCGGTCCGAGCCCTGTTTATCAACTCTGGAGCTCAAAACGCGTCTAGAGTTTTGGCCGCCTCCACCGGTCTTCTGGCCCACTGTGCGGCGGGGGACTAACCGCGAACGTGAGGTCCTCAGAGCAGCCGCCGTTGGTGTACATGTGCATGCGAAGGCCGAGCAGCCGGCCCTCCTTGTCGAAGGCCACCTTGTAGCGGGTGAGGAACGGGTGCCGTTGCCCCGTGGTAGCCATGTCCTCGTCGCGGTCTAGCATGAAGCGCACGGGCCGCCGGTACCTGCCGGGCAGGGGGGCGTGAGGGGCGGGGACTGAGAGCTGAAGCGCCTGCGGGTAGCCCGCCGCCACGCAGTGCAGGGCGGGTCGGCCTACCTCGACCATCGCAGGCGCTTGGTCCAGCACACCGCAAAACGCTCAAGAGAGTCTAGCAACGACTCAAACTGAGCGTTTGACCCCACGAATGGATTCCTCTTTCGGAGAGCAATCCATTGGTGGGGGTCACACGTTTGGTTCGAGTCCCATTTGGCGACTCTGGAGCTCAAAACCCGTCCAGGACATTGACCGCCTCCTCCGGCCTTCTGGCCCACTTTGCGGCCCCTCGGAGCACGGCGGAGCACGGCGACGTACTTGTTGGCGGCGACGGCGCAGAGCGTCGCGAAGGGCACGGCGCGGACCTCCTTGCCGCCGAAGCCGCCGCCAAGTCGCTTGACTCTGACGACGACGCGGCTCTTGGGCACGCCCAGCACGCGGGCGACGGTGTCCTGCAGGCCGGTGGGGGACTGCGTGGACGCCGTCACCTCCATCTCGCCGTCCTCGCCGGGCACGGCCACGGCGGCCTGCGTCTCCAGGTAGAAGTGCTCCTGGCCGGGGCTACGGACCTCGCCGTCGGCCACGTGGTCGGCCTCGGCCTCGGCCTTGTCCACGTCACCCACCGCCAGCACCGCGGGCGGCACCAGGTACGAGTCGGCGGCGATGGCGTCCTGCGGGGGGGAGGGAAAGGACCGTTTTAAAAACCAAAACAAAAAAAACAGTGTGGATCCAGGAGAGGAGTAATAGGAGTACAAAATAGGAGCCTTGACTACTTATTAAGCCGCCTGGAAGGTAGGCATAAAGCAATGCTTCGCCACCTCCTTGCAAAACTCCTGGATCTTCGCCTGAACAAAATACTGTCGTAACGTTGAAATTAGCAGTGGAGGCACGCACCTCTATCGTGAGGACGGCGGGCAGGTCCTGGTACTCCACCTTGACGAGACCGGCCGCCCTGCGCGCCACGCTCTGCTCCGTGGCCAGCACGGCCGCAACGAGCTGTCCGTGGCACAACACCTGCAGAAAAAAGAAATAATAATGAGAAAATGGGATTGAACCAACGACTTGATGTATGCACTGGTAAAACGGAAACGGAATTGTAACTACGCTGCACATTGGGACAGAAGAGCGGTGGAGGCGGCTAAACCTCCGGATGCGTTTTGAGCTGCAGAGTCTGCAGAGTCGCTAAACCGGACTCAAACCGAACGTGTAACCCAACCAATGGGTTCCTCGTTCGGAGAGCAATCCATTGGTGGGGTCACACGTTAAGTTTGAGTCCCATTTAACGATTCTGGAGCTCAAAACGCGTCCGGGATTTTGGCCGCCTCCACCGGTCTTCTGGCCCACTGTGCGCTGCAAGAATTTACGCTTGAAGCCAAGCGCACACTTGAAGACACGCGTAAAAGTGCGCTTCACTTCTGCCAAGTCGACGCGTCCTAATAGAATAATCCTAACTGTCAGTGCTGATCCAAGACAATCCTCACTGCTCAGAGGTTTCAAAGGAGGCTAAAACTGCTCATTAGCTCTCTTCAGTCCAAGGCAGCGAATCATGATATCACTAAAATACAGCTTCCACGTTTGTATGCAAGGTTTATACTTTTTAACAAGTCCATTGCCAAGAAATTTGAAGCAGCATGTTGGCGTCACAGAATTTTTATATCTTTTTACGTCGTACAATCTGCGCTGACAGCTAGGATTGTCTTGGATCAGCACTGACAGTTGGGATTATTCTATTAGGAGGCGGAGGCGTCGAAGTGTGCTCACACTGCCGCCACTCACCTTCCCGGAAGCGAGGATCTCCTCGTCGAGGTTGATGGCGCCGAACTTGTTCTGGTTGGCGGGGAGGTCGGCGGCGGTGAGCACGCCGGCGACGCCGGGCACGGCCAGGGCGGCCGACGCGTCCACGGCCAGCACGCGGGCGTGCGCGCGCGTGCTCATGACGGGCGACAGGTAGAGCTCGCCGTCCAGGGGGCGGATGTCGTCGCAGTACACGGCCTCGCCCGTGGCCTGCTTGTAGGCGGACTGGTGCACGATGGGCTTGCCGACAAAGTCCGTTCGCGCCTGTGAGCCGGGCACCTGACGGAAACACGATCTCCATTATTTTCACCTGCTTCTGACTGAGCTGGCCGAACGGAATGTTAATAATTGCGGCTTTACTTCTTACCGTGGTGAAGTACTGCGCGCTGCTGAGCGGTTTCTCCGTGAGCGGCTCCGCCGCACTCTGGAGGCGACTGGACAGCATCGGCGAACGCGGCGTCTGGCTCGCGATGTTCAGGAAGGCCTTGACCAGCAAGCTGCCGGACAGAGAGCCAGGACCAAGGGGTTCAACACTCGCACTCCTCGCGTTTGAGTCTCTGGCAGCAGCCACATTCTCTATCCCACTGCACAGTAGGCAAGAAGACCAGTGGAGGCGGCCAAGATCCGGGACGCGTTTTGAGCTCCAGAGTCGCTCAATGGCTAAATGGGACTTGAACCGAACGCATGTGACCCCACCAATGGATTGCTCTTCGGTCGAGGAATCCATTGGTGGGGTCACACGTTTGGTTCGAGTCTCATTAGCGACTCGGGAGCTCAAAACGCGTTTGGATTTTTGGCCACCTCCACTGGTCTTCTGGCCCATTGTGCGACGCCTCAACACTGACCTGAGTGCGAGGGCCTGTCGGTAGCGCACCATGCCGCCGGGGGCGCCGGGTGGCAGAGGAAGGTCCTGCGCGAGGGCGGAGCAGGCGAGGTCCAGGGTGTCGCTGTCCAGGGACCTGCAGCAGAACGCGGAGTTGCTGTGTCACGATCAGAGACGACGAAAATGGCCTTTCCCAGGCAGGATCTAGGGTGTTCCCAAGGAGGCGGAGAAGCCGCGCCTTATGCCTACCTATAGGCACAGTAGTTGTGTGACCCCACCAATATGGACTGCTCTCCGAATGAGGAGTCCATTGGTGGGGTCACACGTTCGGTTCGGGTCCTGTTTAGCGAGTCTGAAGCTGAAAACGCGTCTACAGTTTCGGCCGCCTCCAGCCTCCACCGGTCATCTGGCCCACTGTGCTATCTAGTGCCAGCACGGCCGACTCACCCTTCAGCCAGGGCCTTGGCGGCGCCCTGCGCCAGCACGGAGGTGGGCGCCATGCCCCCCACGGCCACGGCGGCGTCCTGGATGGCCAGCCCGTCGTCGCGCAGCCGCAGCCGCAGCGCCAGGTTCACGATGGCGATGTCGTCCTCGCGACGCCGCGCCTGCTTCAGCGCGCAGAGGTACTCGGCCTCCTCGGTGAAGGGCAGCAGCACGGACACCAGCACCTCGTCGGCCAGCACGGCGTTGCGGCGGTAGCCCGTGAAGAAGCGTTGGTCCATGCGCAGCCGGCGGACGCCGCGCGAGCTGCGCAGATCCAGGACGCAGCCCGCCGCCAGGAAGATGGGGTTCAGATCGGAGATGGGGCTGCCCGTCATGATGTTGCCGCCGACGCCCTGGCGGACACAGCAGTGGTGTCATGGCACTGCTCTTCAAATTACAGTGTGTGCTTGCATGCACACTGTTCCTAAGCGTGGGCTTGTCATGCACATTGTCACAGACCGGGACAGCAATGCTGCCAAGCACACGCTCAGGAACAGTGTGCATGCAACATGCAGACATGATCAAGGTGGAGTGAGCCATGCACACGCACAGTCAAGTTTGAAGAGTGAACATTAAGGCCACACTCCTCCCACGCCCGCTATACTCACTGCGACGTTACGAATCTGGTTCCCGGCGAACCACCGCAACATGCTGCTCAGAGCCTGCAAGGTCCTCGTCTTGTGCTCTGCAGGGGACAAAAACAATGACAAGTCACCACAACAGCACTTAAATGCGGCAGTGTTGGTTGGTTGGTTGCACTGTTTTTTTTCAACGAATGTGACGAAATTCACATTCTAACGAATATGACGACGCACAGCGGGCCAGAAGAACGGTGGAGGCGACCAAAATTCTAGACGCATTTTGAGCTCCAGCGCTACATGGGACTCGAACCGATCGTGTGACCCCACCAATCCACGAGATCCGCTGGAGGAATTGATTGGTGGGGTCACACGTTCGGTTCGAGACCTGTTTCGGTACTCTGGAGCTCAAAACGCGTCTAGAGTTTTGGCCGCCTGCACCGGTCTTCTGGCCCACTGTGTGTCGTCACACTCATTGAACGACCGTGCAGGCCTGACGGCGAGCCTGACGGTGTACTCACGGGGCAGCTCCTTGATGAGCTTGCGCAGGGCCTCGTCGACCTGGGTGAGCGGGCAGGCCGCCCCCACGCGCAGCCCCTCGGCCGCCGCGTCCACGGCCACGGCCTGGAGCTCGGGCACGGCGGAGGACGAGATGAGCACCGGGTACAGGCACGCCTTGAACTTGGTCTCCACGCCTGCAAGCAGTGCAAGGAAGAGTTAGAGGTCAATTTAGCGCAGCGGTTTTCAACCTTGGGGTCGTGATAGCAAGGCGTCTCGCGAACGCCGTGCCACCGCACAGTGGTCCAGAAGACCGGCGAAGGTGGCCAAAATTCTAGACGCGTTTGCAGCACAAGAGTCACCAAACAGGGCTCGAATGACCCCACCTATGGATTCCTCGTTCGTAGAGCAATCCATTGGTGGGGTCACACGCATGGTTCGAGTCCCATTCAGCGACTCTGGAGTTCAAACCGCTAGAGTTTTGGCCGCCCACCGGTCTTCTAGCCCACTGTGAGCGGGTCCCGAAACGCAGGGCATGTCGAGCCGGGCGGCCGGCTTTCTTATTCCCGGCCCGTTTCGCAAGCCTCGGCAAGCCTGCTGCCATCGACACGTCGGCGATCCGTCCGACCCTTCCCTTCTCTGGGGCGACATGGATACGCCCAGTGGCGTGGCGCCCAGCGCTCCGGCCACTCCCACGCCGCGAACGCGTTGGAAAGAAGTTTGAAAACCCCTTGGCCCAGATCTGCGAGGAGCTAAGGTTCTGCCCGCCTCTGGAACGGCGGCCGCAGACTGATTCCGAGAGTCGTTTTCGTCGTTCTGTCTCTCTCGCACCTGCACGGGACGCCCCATGAGTGCGAGTGTGGTCTCCTTCGACCTGGTCGACGTGCAACCGGATAGGCCGGCGTGCACTCCGTTTTCACCGCTGACGTAAAGTGGAAAACATAAAAGGAAATGGGCCCACCCGCACTGCGCGCACTGCAGAGTGCAGCTGTCTGGCCTCGAACGTGACAGATGTGCCGTTCTGTGGCCGCCAAGTCGCCGCACGCTTCAAGCCAGCGGCCAGTTGAACACCTGGCTGACGACTCGATCACTGGTAAAACCTAAGTATTAGGGTCAGTTGGTGTACTTTAGGGACGGGTAAAAATGAGACAGCTGTTTCCTGGTCAAGATTTGACATATTTTAGAACCCATGCCTTACCAAATGCTATTTTCACAATAAAAGCATCGCATCTGCCGTGGCATGAAAATGAAATTGGCCGTATCCTATGTTCTCAAGCGTTATGACTTGACGCTTGAAATCGAGCATAGGCTCCTCTGCAAAGATTGCCCCAGCTAAATGCATGGGAGAGTTTCTAGTGTATGCCTCATTTCAAGCGTAACGTCTTCAAGCGTAAGTCTCGAGCATAGAGCTGCGCTTTAGTTTCACCAGCGACCGATCGACTCGCAACGCAGAGGTTCGTTTTGACTCCACCATTTTCGGACTTCATACTACTTTCGTTGCGGATCTTCGATTTCTTAAGCTAGCGTGATCCAAAAAAAGAGAACGTGAAATCCCTGAAATCTCAGGACGTTTAGATTCGTCGAGGTATTGTTTCACAGCATGGTTTTAGCGGCCGCGCGTCTTATGCACCCTGTAGCGCCTGCGAGGTAGGCCACAGGCCCGTCCTGCAACACACAGCCGTGGAGGCGGTGGCCCACCTCGCCCCTGTCGCCTTCACAGGGGCGAGGTAGGCCACCGTCTCCACATCTGTGTGTTGCAGGACGGGCCGGTGGCCTACCTCGCAGGCGCTACAAGCGAAACAGGGCATGAGCAAGCGATGCTCTCGGAGGACATGAGGGCGGCTATACTACACCCACATGATGCAACAGGGCTTGTGTGGGCACAACATTGCTCCCACAAGCAGGGACGTTCGGGACAGGGTCACAGGCCGACCGTTTAGCAGGTGGTTCCATCGATTCCATTCACCGTCGAGGCGACAGCTGACTGAAAACAAACCAACGCCGCGGGAGGATTCGAACCCTCAACCTGCGGCCCAAAGCGTCGGCGCTCCAACCCACGCGACCACGCGGCCGTTCCAACAGAGAGTCGACGTTGTCCTCACCCACTTCGGTGTTGCCCGCGATGATCCTGGCCTGCGGGTGCCGCTCCTTGAGTAGCACCAGCTGCTGCAGGCTGGTGGGCCGGAACCACGTCACCCTGGGCCCCACGATGCACAGCGCCTGCTCGTCCAGGGCGGCGCTCTTCTGCGGAGAGCCAGAGGACAGTGGGTCAGTTGCAAGCGGTTTCAGGCGGTACACAGGTAAAAGTGAGGCATAACATGGCGCCTCTCGCGAAGCCTTTCCGCGCGCCGTTCTTGAAGTGCAGAAAAGCTCATGCACTCCTTTCTTCTCATCTAAATGCATGGGATTGTCCGAGGAGGAAACTGCACTTGAATTTTGGTTTGCCTTGAAGCTAAGCCGTACGCTCTCCAAGAAGTGCACACGGTCTTCTAGCGTAATTGTACACTTGAATGAAGTGTACATCTACGCTTTAATTTCACCAGAGTCGAGAGGAATATTCCGATCTCGCACCGTTGTAGCACCGGGACGCAACTTTGTGACCACAACACAACAAACTCGAAAGTGTACATTACAACATGTTTCAGGTTGAAGCGTTGACTTTGTAGAAAATGAAGATGTCGGACTTGTTCCATTTTGGTCCCCGAACATGCGGGAGACGGTCAAACCTGTTGGCGGAGTCAAGTTCAGTGACTCCTTCGGACGCCCGACGGGGTCGGGACTTTGGGATTGCGTCCTCTGTTGCCTTTTTCGTGTTGGTCAGACGGCCGTGTTAAAGGGTACTCTAGAACTTGGTGCCCGCCTCAATCACTCTCGAAGCCTTACAAAATATGTTAGGCCTCTCAAAGAAAAGTAACTTGCCCAAACAAAAAGTTCTGATCATACCTACACTGAAAATCCACCGGCAAGTTTGCTTGCCACAAAATTGGAAAGCCTTGGCCTGAAATTTTCAACAGCTTGGCAAAATTTGGCGCTTTGGTTTGCCTGCAATGCCAAATTTTTGACAGACTTGCCAATTTTGGCCATTCGAAACGACTTGCCAATTCTGTGGCAGGCAAACTTGCCACCGGCGTTGCAGTATGCTAACAAAGACAATACATCGTAATTTACAAACTATTTCTTAGCATAACAAACTAAATAGTTTGTACCACACACATGCTCGAAGTACTTCGTGAGGTTTGAAGCGTCCCAAGGAGCACGAAACACTCACGAAGCAGTCAAAGGTTGTCAACACGAAGTCAAATTAACTCTTTTTTCGTCGAAATTTTGACTGGCCAAATTGACATCTAATGATGTCACGCTGAGCGTTTCGTGTTCTTGGGGGTGCTGACCTTGAGTTCTGGCGGAAAGATGGGCTCCTGGGAGGGGTCGTAGGGCGCGAACGTCTCCACGCTGAAGAACTTGTCGTCCGTGGAGGTCTGCTTCACGGCGCCCGGCGCGTCAACGCCGCCCTGGTCGGCAAGCACCGGCACACCGTTGACGACGCGGTCACCGGCAGGGGCGGCATGGCCGTTGGCGGTGCCATTGGTGGCACCATTGGTAGCGCCGTTCGAGACGCCGTTACACTGGTCAAACAAATACCACATCAAATAGAACAAAACTACGCCCTCAAGCAAGCCACCGCACAGTGGGCCGGAAGACCGTTGGAGGCGGCCGGAATTCTGGACGCGTTTTGAGCCCCAGAGTCGCGAAATGGGACTCGAAACGAACGTGTGACCCCAACAATGGATTGCTCCCCGAACGAGCAATCCGTTGGTGGGGTCACACGTCCTGTTTAGCAACTCTGGAGACTTTTGGCCGCCTCCCTCCACCGTTCTTCTAGGCCACTGTGCGCCGGTTTTGCAGTGTTGTGCCTCCGTTTTACCAGTGCGTCCACGCCGTTGACGGTGCCGTTGACGGTGCCGTTGGCAGGGCTGCCGCAGCCGTTGCCGCCGTTGACTTTGCAGCAGTCCTTCCCCATGGGGCAGCCGTTGGCCACACCGTTGGCCAGGCCGTTGGGGAGTCCCTGGGTGCGGCTGGCAGTCTGCAGGGCCTCGTAGTCCTCCGTGAACGTGCGGAAGCCTTCCAGGATGGGGCGGTACCCCGTGCAGCGGCAAAGGTTTCCTTGGAAAAAGTCATGCGTTCTTTCAATTTTCTCCTACATAGTGGAGCCATGGCGACAAAGAAGGGAAATGTGCCCAGGATTGAAGGCTTGCCTCCGATTCATTTGCAGCCCTTCAGCCACCCTACAGTAGCTGTTACAAAGAGCACCAGGGTTACCAACCTCAGCACGCCAAGTAGGAGACTAAACTTCTCCTTTGAGAGTGAGGCGAAGAAGGCAGGCTGAGGTTGGCAACACTGTCCCAAAGGGTTTGGCCCCAAAAGGTACGCTTAAGTCCGAAGGTACCTTAAGGTTTCATGCGCCAAAGGGCATAAACTTGATGCCGTTGGGTTGTCCAAAGTTTTACCTTGCATGGCGAGCTCCAGGTCGTGCATGGAGGGCTTGGGCAGGGTCCGCAGCAGCGCGTACATGGACATGACGATGCCGGGGGTGCAGAAGCCGCACTGCGAGCCGTGGGCCTTGGCGATGCGCTCCTGCACTGGGTGCAGCCGCGTGCGCGTTGACCCGATGCCCTCCACGGTGGTCACGGCCAGCCCGTGCATCGCGCACACGGGCGCCAGGCACGCGTTCACGGCCAGGTGCCTGCGTGGGTCAGACAGTGGACGCAAACTGCTTGGATGTCACGTGGCACAGTGGGCCAGAAGACCGGTGGAGGTGGCCAAAACTCTAGACGCGTTTTGAACTCCAGAGTCGCCAACCAGGACTCGAACCGAACGTGTGGCCCCACTAATGGTTTCCTCTTTCGAAGAGCAATCCATTGGTAGGATCACACGAACGGTTCGAGTTACATTTAGCTACTCTAGAGCTCAAAACGCGTCTAGAATTCCGGCCGCCTTCCACCGGTCCTCTGGCCCACTGTGCGTGTACTTACCGTGTCTTGCCAGTGCCCCTATCCACCCTGGACACCATGACAGTGCAGGCGCCGCAGCCGCCCTCGGCACAGCCCAGCTTGGTGCCACACAGGCGGACTGGAAAAGACAAAAGACAAAGGCTGTCATAAATGTTCAGTTTCATGACTGGTGAGACATCTCACCCTTCACACGGTGGGCCATATATCTGTTATCTGTGCTAGAATGAGGGAGCTGCTAAAATGAATGACCGCAAAATGACACGTACTTCGATGTACGAACAAAAGTGACGATCCAAATTCTCACAGTGTAGTGACGTCCCATAGCGACCAGGCCAAACGGCTCGGCATGGAGTCACATTGCGAACGGACAAGTCGAATGCCGTTGGAACACGTCGGTAAGCTGGCACCTCTGGCACCGCGTCCGCGCGTCCACTAGGCAACTGACTCTTATGTAAAATGCAAGCGGCATCCCTGCAGCATGCCTGCAGCCTGGAATAAACCTGGGTCAGAGTCCTCGCCCGGGATCACGGCTGGCGCTGGAGGCACACTGGAGGCACACTAGGCACGCTGGAAGGCCCGAGGCGACGACGCGGCTAACCAACCATTTCCCCCGATCTCTCGGACGGCCAGGTAATGAATGAAAAGATAACAAAGGGAACAAAAGTCACACCATGACGCTATCATGAATCTTCTGGGCCCCTCTGGCCGAGAACAGGTGTCCGCACTCCTCAAGTTAACTGGATTCCATTTGGAGTTTTTTTAAGGTTTTTTTTAGTACACTATTCGAAGTTTGTGAGAAGTTTCGACGGTAATTTCTTTGGCGCCTTGAAGAGGTTCATGAATGAACGGGCTGGAGGTTTCTTCTCTTAGAATAGATTGAAATTCTCAAGTTTTCGACGATTTTCAGTAATAAGTAGGTATGAAAGTTGATAAGTATTATCTGCTTAACATAGCTGTTGACGTTAGATAATTTGTACAAAGGTTGAATGAATTTTGGTGAATTTTATTAACTTTGTTTGCCATATTTCCGACAGCTCGACGGGGCGCCTGGACTTCTCTAAACTTCTCCCAGCCGAACTCCCAGGCCCAGGCTCGCAGGCCCAGCAACAACAACTGTGGCTAATTTGTGAGAAAATGCAGCCTCTCGTCGTGCCAGTGCCACCGGGCTGTGCGGCGTCACCTTACGTAAGCCGTGCGCGCTAGGGGGACCCGGCCGACTACAGCCTCCATGTGCCAAAGCCCCCCTCCCCTCCCCCCTCCCCCGTATCGGTTTGCACGACGTTCGGCGGTCACGGCCGGAAACTAATACGAGCGAAAGGAGGACAAGCCTCTCCGCAAAGATTCGGAGACTTTGGAGGTGGCCGACCACCCACGTGACACTGTGAAATCAAGTCCGAATCAATTTTAAAATCAAGTCCAAGCCGACTGGAAATCAAGTCCGAATCGAATATGGAATCAAGTTCGAATCGATTTTAAAATCAAGTCCAAGCCCACTGAAGATCAAGTCCGAATCAAGTCCGGCTTTGCTGTGGAATCAAGTCCGAATCGAATGCCTTGAGGCTGCCGACGGGACCGACCACGTGGTCGACACTGTGAAATCAAGTCCAAATCGAAGAACTGAGTCAAGCTGCTGCTTGCCTGAGTTGTCATCCTGTATCAACTCAATCATGTTTGTTTTTACTCACAAACAGCAAGGGTTAAATTGATTTCTTTTTTAAAATCGAGGAGTTTGGTATCGCAATCAGCTGTTACGTGATGAGTTGCTGGGGATCATGTTGGAACTTACGTTTGTTTCGGAGGTAGTAAAGAAGCGTCCATTCTGGGTCGACTCCACTGTCCACGACCTGGAAGATGGAATATGGAATAGAAACTACAGCGTCACGTGATCACTGCGAAGTCTGCAGCCTGCGTTGACAAACAAGTTACGGCATGACCTCCATGGTTCTTGTTTGTTTGGTCGATTCACCAAAAAAAGCTAACTTTCTTCAAATCTTTTCAAACAAGTGTCTTTCAGTTTCTTACTGCGCAAGTCACCTTTCAAAAAGGTGGCCAAAACGGTGCGCGCCACGGTAAGATTTGCCACTGTATCAGTACAGTATACTGTTTGGTACGGCAACCACGTGCATCCCGTCTTTCCTCTCTAACACAACAACACATCCATGCACCTCGCACTAACTCACTACACTTCATTTTCAGCGAGAACAAAACGACGAACTTGTTTCAGGTTCATCTGGACCGACACAGCAAAAATTTCTGCCCATTCTACATAATTCTACGTGCTGCCGTCGAACGCGACGCTACTTTTTGCGTAACGCGAGTCACTGCAGACTGATTCCAAGAGTCGTTTTAGTCGCTCTGTCTCTCGCACTCATGGGGCGTCCCGTGCGGGCGCGAGAGAGACAGCGCGACGAAAACGACTCTCGGAATCAGTCTGCAGATGCAAGTTCGCGAGGGAGCACAAACATGCGCTGGATGTGTTTGCTACCGTTGCCGACAGAAAAATAAATCAAGGTAGGCCTTCTATCTCCTTCTCTCATGCCTAGATCGGCCTTGAGTGCTTCTGGTCCACACCGCCACAGTTCATAATCACACTGTGCTTAAAAACCTTAAAGTCCTTCGGAGTGTTTCTCACGACGCATGTTTCTACGCGTCGCGCTAGCCGCTGTGCCATTTGAGTAAACAAACCCACGCGTCGGAACTGACATTAACTCAGAAGTCGTTTGAAGCAGCGTCCGCCAAGGACCCTGTTACGCTAGTTCCAGGTTCAAAACCTCCCTCCCCACAGTGGGCCAGAAGACCGGTGGAGGCGGCCAAGACTCTAGACGCGTTTTGAGCTCCAGAGTCGCTAAATGGGACTTGAACCGAACGCATGTGACCCCACCAATGGATTGCTCTTCAAACGGGGAATCCATTGATGGGGTCATACGATCGGTTCGAGTCCCATTGAGCGACTCTGGAGCTCAAAACGCGTCTGGAGTTTTGGCCGCCTCCACCGGGCTTCACTGTGCTCCTCCCTCGCGAGTACCTTCTTGCCGTTGACGAAGAACACCAGTTCCTTGCTGCCCTCCATGACCCCCGCCGAGGTCCCCGACGACGAGGACTCCACCGTGGATCGCTGGAGGACGCTCGCTGGACGAGCTGCTGGGGAAGCCGGGAGGACTCGCTGGAGTGCCCGGCGTCGCCCGCCGCTGCTGTGGTGCCCGGAGGACTCACAGGGAGAGCGAGAGAGAGGGTCAAATGGGGCAAATTTGGGCGGCGCGACGCGTGGAGCGGGACAGGCGGTCCGAGCGTAGGCGCACGCTCTCTTGACCAGCACGATCGGAAGTACGAGCTTGACTGGGCAGCCCGACGACGACGTCGCGTCTGAAGGCGTCTCACTCGCTCAGCCCCCACTCCGTACACTCCACGCCGCCCAGCGCAGCCCGTTTCACTGTCTCACTCCCACTCCTCGCGCCTCTCCACTCCGTGCCACTCCGAGCCGCGGCGTGCTGGCGTGCCCGACATTGCCGCATGCATCGCCCGGCAAGGCTGCGTGCTGCGCCACTGCGGTTCAACGGCCCTGTTCACACCGCCCCACCGAAACACTCCCCCCCCCAAGCAGCCGGACAATAAAGTCTCTCTTAGCGCCTCTCTGTCTGTAGAGAGCCCGCCTGTCTGTCTCTAGCCCTTCTGCCTCTCGTGGAAATCCTTGCTGTCTGCATTGAGCATATGTAGCTCTAGAGAGCATCTCTGTCTACTGAGAACCTCTCTGTCAGTACAGAGACTCCGCCCCGCTCTCTGTAGGGGTCATACCTGTCTCTAGCCCTTCTGTCTCTCGAGAGCTCCTCGGTCTCTTGAGAGCCTCTCTGTTATTGAGCACCTCTTACTCTCCAGAGCGTCTATGTCACTCGAGAGCCTCTCTGTCTAGCTCTGTCTACAGATCCCTTCTGTCTAGATAGAGCCTCCCTAAGTCTGAAGAGCATATCTGTCTCTGGATAGCATATCTGCGTCTAGAGATCGTGTCCACCTCTGAAGAGCCTGTCTGTCCCTGTAGCCCTTCAGTGTCCATTGAACCTGTCTGCCCCTCGCGAGCAGCCCTCTGTCCTGCACTGTCTCAGGAGAGACTCTCTGGCTCTAGCCTCCTGTCTCTCACTGTTTTTGGAGGAGCAGCAGAGGAGCCTCTCTACTGAGCGATACCTGCTGGACGAAGTCGCAATGGCGCTCGCCGAATGCGGTGCTTCGTAGCAAACCCCACGGACTCGGAGAACCTTGAGTGAGATGAGTGACGCGGAGGGACTTGTGCGACGCATTACGCCAACGTCGTTGCACTCGTTGCACTCGTTGGCGTTGTCTCTGTCGCACCTTGGTCCTAGATAACGCCGCCGTGCGTCGAGCGAGATACTGTTCCGACACACACGCATCGGGAAAAAGAAACGCAGTACTGAAAGTAGGCAGCGGCGGCCCGAAAGGGGTCGACTTGGCCGAGTGCAAATACTGCACACTGGTTCCGAGAGTCATTTCCGTCGCTCGGTCTCTATCGCACTCATGCGGCCTGCAGTAGGTACGAGAGAGACAGGGCGACGAAAACGACTCTCGGAATCAGTCTGCTGCACAGAGCCGACACCGTCACACAGTAGGCCAGAAGGCCAGAAGACCGGTGGAGGCGGCCAAAACTCTAGACGCGTTTTGGAGCTCTAGAGTCGCTAAACAGGACTTGAACTGCACGTGTGACCCCACCAATGGATTCTTCGTTCGGAGAGCAATCCATGGGTGGGGTCACGCGTTCAGTTCGAGTCCCATTTAGCGACTCTGGAGCTCAAAACGCGTCTAGAATTTTGGCCGCCTCCACTGGTCTTCTGGCCCACTGTGCGTCATGGCAGTGCCGTGCCTGGCGTTCGTCAGCCACACGCCCCCAAGTCCGGACCCGTGTCGCGTCCCTGTCAGCATGCTGTCAGTGCGCCCCTCCCGCTGTGGGCACACTGTGGGTCCCCACACTGCGGGCCCCACGCAGTCACGCAGTCAGAGACATGAGGCGGGCGTCGCTGCTGCTGCCGCTGCTGCTCGTGGTGGTTAAGCTGCCACACTCGTCCGCCGCCGAGGACCCCAACGAAAGCACGGAATGTAAGGCATTTTCTCGTCACCAACCCGACCCTCACACTGTAAAACATTTTGATGTCACTTAGCCGCAAGTGGATGACGATTTTATCACAGCTCCCATTCTTGTAGCATAGGCGTGACAACAAGGTCATCAACTGGTTCGGAAAATCGGCCTTGACATTGACATTGTCATCAAGTGACAAAAGTAAAACTAAATATTCACAGTGCACACGACAGATTATCGAATGCAAGGAGGGCTGCTCTGGTGGACGTTTCTTCGCCCGAGCTGTCCCGTCGCTCTGTCTCGCTCTCCCACCTCCCCCACGAGTGCGACAGAAACAGCAGACTGCTTCCGAGACTCGTTTTCGTCGCATCGTCTCTTTTGCACTCGTGGGGCGTCCTGCATTGGTGGCAGTGGGAGAGGGACAGCGCGACGAATCAGTCGGTATCAGTCTGCCGGCCGATTCCGAGCACAGCTTGTTGCTGTCTCTCTCGCACCTTTGCGGGACGCCTTATGAGTGCGAGAGAGACAGAGCGACGAAAGCAGTGCTCGGAATCAGCCTGCTTGCAGGGTGCCGAAAACGGGAGGCAACCTTATTCGGACACAGTGTGACAGTGTACCAGTCAAAGGGACTTCTGCCCCCACCCCTTTTTTCGGCCACTAGATAGCCGCCTGAAAGGTGGTCAAAAGGCTATACTTTGCCCCAGCAAGTTGGCAAAAACTGCTACTTTGCCACCTCCGTATTCCCCAAAAGGCCGACTCTGGATCCGCCACCGCAAGAGTGTGCTTGTTGCAGGGATCCCGGCGCTGCGGCGCAAGGTGTGGCGGCGGTACGCGCTGTCCAGCGACGCGGCCAACTGGGAGGGCGGCGTGGCGCCGTGCCAGGGGGACGCCGTCGAGTTCCCCCGGGACATGCGCGGCGCCACGGCCACCCTGCAGGACGCCGACAGGCCGAGGTGGGGAGGGCGGTGCGGAGGCGGCAAAAACCCTAGACGCGGTTTGAGCTCCGGAGTCGCTAAATGGGACTCGATCCGAACGTGTGACCCCACCAATGGATCCCTCGTTCGGAGAGCAATCCGTTTGTTTGTTGTTGGCAGTGAGCTGGTGAGGCTGCGCGCCGTGAGGCTGCCCTGGAAGGGCGTGGTCAGCCTGCCCCTGACCGGCGGCGTCGTCCTGGGCGGCGAGGACTTCCGGGGCAGCGCCTGCCCGGGCAGAGGTGACGTCGGCGTCGTTCGCGCCTTCACGCGGAGCGTTAAGAAAACAATAACAACAACAACAACGCAGTGGCGTGTCTGGAAAACAAAAGCAAAATTGTGCTGCAGACTTGCGGTGGCGCGTGCCGAAGAGCAAGCCCGCCTGGCTGGACCCCGCCAACTGGGTGACCGCCGGCGTCCTGGACGGCGACATGGAGGCCGTGCCGCACCTGCAGCGCATCCCCTGCGGCCAGGACGTCGCCGACTTCCAGCACCTCGCCGTGGACATCGCGTTCCCCGAGACCCACACCGCGGTGGGGCTGGTGCTGCTTGACGGGGTGGGTCATCGGAGTCCAGTAGCGTGTGCAGTGGGCCAGAAGCCCGGTGGAGGCGGCCAAAATTCTAGCCGCGTTTTGAGCTGCAGAGTCGCTGAATGTGACTCGAACCGCACGTGTGACCCCACCAATGGATTACTCTCCGAACGAGGAACGTTCGGTTCGAGACATTTAAGAGTGTCGCGGCGACTCGTCCGTTGCAGGCCGTGATCCGCTCCAGCATCGAGTTGGCCCTGGAGCACGTGTCCGCCTTCTCAAACCTGTTCGTCATGGACTTCCTCACGTTCAGGGCGACGTCCCTCCGCGAGGTCGCCACCCTGGAGGAGCAGTGCGGCTTGGTGCCCGGCGCGGTAAGCTCAGAGGCCGGTTTGTCTCTCTCGCACCTTTACGGAGAACCCCATCAGTGTGACAGAGACAGAGCGATGAAACGACTCTTCTGAATCGCCCCTGGAGGAGCACAGCATTACCCAGCCACCCAGCCTCTCCTTGGAAGGACCCTGGATCCGCGGCTATCCGGAGTGCGACGGCGACGCACAGTAGACCCGAAGACCAGCGTTGGCGACCACCCCACTCGCGTTTTCAGCTCCAGAGTCGCTAAACAGGGATCGAACAGAGCGTGTGACCCCGCCAATGGATTCCCCATTCGGAGAGCAATTCATTGGTGGGGTCACACGTTCGGCTCGAGTCCCATTTAGCGACTCTGGAGCTCAAGACGCGTCCAGGGTTGGCAGCCTCCGCCGGTCATCTGGCCCACTGAGTGACGCGATCCTCGTTGTCCTGTGCAGTGGACGCGCGACGCCGCGCAGGCCGCCGCGGACGACCTGCAGCACGCCGTGTGCAGCCACGTGACGTGCCCCCCGCCGGCGTGCGCGCGCCCCGTGCGGCCGCACCACCACTGCTGCCACGTCTGCGGTGGGTCCTGCATCGCCTCGTTGCTCTGTCTCTCTCGCCCCCATGGAGATCGCCTTGAGTGCGAGAGAGACAGACTGACGTAACATCCCATCATGATCAGGCCGCTCCATCAGGTGTAGTTGCCTGACCTCCTACCTGAACCGCCACTTTATGACTCCTCTACAATGAGTGAGGTCTGTGATATGCTTGGAATGCAGGAGTGGCCATGCTGGGCGCGAAATGGCAAACGATCTATTAAGGTGCAGCGTGCAGCCTTTAAAGTTCAAGTTCAGGTCCCGTTCAGGTCCTCGCTGAGAGACCGCGTCTGGACTGAGTCGTGGGTTGCCTACCGAGACGGCGCTTCGCGGGTTTAACCCGGAAGTCGGAATCGGAGTCCTCTGTTTGTAAATGGGGAAGGGGGAGGGGTAGACGCCCCCCGCCCCTCGCATTCTAGAATTTTTGCCGCCTCCATCGGTCCGTGGCCCACTGTGCGTCGCTGTGCGTTCACCCCAACCCTCTGGCCTTGCTGCAGGCACGGTGCTGGAGCTGCGGCCGGCGGGCTCGGCTCTGCCGTCGGCCTCGGCGGTGGCGGACGTGCGCCGCGTGGTGGCGTCCGAGGCCACGCGCTACGACGTCCGCTGGGGGCAGCGGCCCGCCGTGCACGTGGGCGTCGTGCCCTCCCCGCGCGGCGAGCCGGCCGTCGTGCAGGTCGTCATCCTGGGCCGCGACGCCGAGGACCTGGCCGCCGCCATCGAGGCCCGCCTCGCCAACGGTGCGCACCCCGCACAGTGGGCCAGAAGGCGGCCAAAATCCCGGACGCGTTTCGAGCTCCAGAGTCGCTAAATGGGATTCGAACCGAGCGGGTGTCACTTCACACGTTCGGTTTGAGTTCCATTTAGCGACTCTGGAGCTCAAAACGCGTCCGGGATTTTGACAGCCCGCCAGTGCTCCACCGCTGTCTCTCTGGCAACCCGACGGCGCGCCCGACGGGGAGTGAGAGAGACACGGAGGGCGTCCGGTAGAGGTGCGAGAGAGACAAAGCGACGGTGACGTTTCAAGCAGTTTGATTCCTCGTCGATGTGTCTCCCTCGCACCCTGACAGGGGGCGCCCGCTCTGTGGGTGCAAGAGAGACAGAGGGGCGTATCAGCAGGTTGTTTCCGAACAGCGCCCCGTCGCTCTGTCTCTCTCGCACTCCCATGGGACGGGGCGACGAGAGCATTGCATTGTTCCCGAGCCCGGTTCTACGTCACCGCTTGCCGCAGAGCTGTCCGGCTTGGCGGCGTCCTCGCAGCAGTCCGGCGCGGCCATGGCGCCCGCCACCGCGGCCTCGGTGCTCGGCGTGCTGCTGGGCACGCTGCTCCTGGCCGTCGTGGCCATCGCCGTGCTGCTCTACTTCCAGGACCGCAGCCTCCCCATAGCGACGCGCCTGGCAGAGTGAGCATCCGCGCAGTCAGCAGACTGATTCCGAGAGTCGTTTACGTCGCTCTGGCTTTCTCGCACTCATGGGGCGCACAGGCCAGAAGACCGGCGGAGGCGGCCAAAACTCAAGACGCGTTTTGAGCTCCAGAGTCGCTGAATGGGACTCGAACCGAACGTGTGACCCCACCAATGGATTCCTCGTTTGGAGAGCAATCCGGCGGGGTCACACGTGTGGTCCGAGTCCTGCTTAGCGACTCTGAAGCTCCAAACGCGTCAGTTTTGGCCGTCTCCACCGGTCTTCTGGCCCACGGGGCGTCCTAGCGAGACAGACAAAGCGACGAAAACGACTCTCGGAATCAGTCTGCAGCTTCCTGTAGCCCTCTGAGTCCAGCCGGCTCATGTTCTCGCTCGTGGCAGCTTGCTCGGCGAAAAGCAGTCGGCGTTCCTCTTCGCGAGGTTCGAGAACACGCCGGGCGAGGAGGACAACGGCGTCGTGGTCAACGTGGTCGGCAAGCAGGGCAAGCAGGGCAAGCAGGGCAAGCAGGGCAAGCAGCCCGCCCCCGGGGTGCGGTCGGCGCGCGGTAGCTGGTCGGCGCGCTCCTTCAGGAACCCGCTCTTCGAGGAGGAGCACCCCGACGAGGTGAGGGGCCCAAGTGCTTCGTCGCTCCGTCTCTCTCGCACTCATGGGACAACGCCCTAGGTTACGAGAGAGACAGAGTGACGCTCGGCTGATTCCGAACGGTGCTCAGTGGGCCATGAGACAATGGAGGCGGCCAAAATTCTAGACGCGTTTTGAGCTCCACAGGCTGAATGGGACACGAACCGAACGTGTGACCCCATCAATGGATTGCTCTCAGAACGAGGATTCAATTGGTGGGGTCACTTGTTCGGTTCGAGTCCCATTCGGCGACTCTAGAGCTCAAAGCGCGTCTAGAATTTTGGCTGCCTCCACCGGTTTTCTGGTCCACTGTGCGGTGGTTCGTCGATGTCTCTCTCGCATCCGCAGGGAATGCCCCATGAGTGCGAGAGAGACGGAGCAAAAATGCTGACACTGTGGTGCCCAGCAGGACGTGCTGCACCGCGAGAGGGCCGCGTCGCGCGGCGTGACGCACGAGAACCCCCTCTTCTCCGAGCTGCAGCGGCGCGCCGGCCCGGCGGGCCCTGAGGACCGCGTCGACGAGGACGGCGGCGTCCTGGAGCTCGGCGAGGAGCAGGCCGGAGGCGGCAGCACGACGGAGGCCTTGGCGGAGACTGCCCCTGCTGCGGAGGCCGCGGCGACAACCCTGGTGGACGTGACACTGTAGGCCGCAGGGCGCGGCGGCGCGACACTGCAGGGCACTGAACTGCACGGTGAGGGGCGGCAGCTCGTCGTTTGCAGGGACGTGTTGGGCCAGTTGGACAGTGTAGCACTGCGGAGCGCCTCAGAGAGCTTCGGGCTGTACGGAGATAACTGCCATACTGCCGGGCGATTCAGAAGAACGGTCTGTCTCTCTCGCACCCTTGTAGAGAGCCCTATGAGTGCGACAGGGACAGACTCACGAAACGACTCATGAGACCGCTCTCGTCGCGGTCTCTCTCGCACCCACAAGGCAAGCCCCATGAGTGCGAGAAAGACAGAGGGAAGCAGACAAGGGCTCGGAACCAGTCTGCTGCTGCAGTTATCTGCACATGCACTTTAAACTCCTATCGGCATCTCATGTCAGCGGCGAGGGCTCGACAGCGCAAAACCCCTCTAAAATGACTACAAATAAAAACATTTTTCAGAGTAAAATTTGCTTATTTAAATAGTGCTCCAGGCACGATTAAGTTTTGCTCCCTGTCGTTTGGAGTGGAGAGGATGGCGTGCCGTGCAATGTTAGAGAGCCTGCTGACTCTCCAGGGGCTGCACAGTGTAGGACTCCACCCCGGCCCATGGGCTTCTCGTGCCAACCCCCAACGTTGAAACGGCCATTTGAAACTCGCACTGAATCCAACGTCATCCGACAAGCCTGCTTGTTCGACGTTTGCTGCTGTTTCTTTTTCGGAATCGCCTTTTGGTACGAATGCAAAGGAACTTTTGAACAGGCAGTCGAGCAAGTCATCCATCACTCTTCATCCCCTCTGCCCCCAGCAGCCCCAGACCAACCCCCCACTCCCTTGAGGCTACCCCCCCCCCCCTTTCCCCGCCCGAGCCCCAGCCCCAGAGCTCTTCCCCCACCACTGGCAGTTCGCACCACCTGTTTGCGAGGCGAAGTCAAGTCGAGTCAGCGTTAACCCTTTTGCAGACACTGCGTCTAGTGGCGACTACACCCGTCCGGCCGGCGAGCGCGGCCAGCCCGGCTGTTTGTCCCAAGCAGAAGGAAAATTGGACTGGGTGCACGCACAGTCGGTTGGTCCTCTCGTCTTCGAAGTTCGTGTTGAGTGGGCGCCCATTGCACAAGATTGCACCTAACAATAACAATGTGCTTTAGATTTATGGCGAACGGCTCGCAGCAGAGAAACTTGTGTGGTGGTGACACCGTTTTCGGTGAAATTATTCGAAAAGAAGCTCCGGCTGACATCCTGTATGAAGACGAAGAGGTGACTGCCTTTGACAGCCGTCTGCTAGGTCTCGCGCGTCTCGCGCTGGTTTTGAGCCTTTTGGGAGGAGTCTGTGGAGTTTGATTGTTGACACTCCAGGTTCAGGGTTCCCTTTGTTGCTCTCTGTGTATAATGGCACCTCTCTGTGTGATTCCAGTGCATGGCCTTCAATGATATTGCACCTCAAGCCCCGGTGCACTTCTTAGTTATACCTAAGAAGCCAATTCCTTCCCTTTCTGCAGCGGAGGACAGCGATGAAAGGGTTCGTCTCTGTTCACTCTTCTCTATGATTGTTTGCAGCTCGTACATTATGTTGTCGCTTTAATTTCCTTTCAGTTGTTGGGACATCTTATGATCATTGCGAGACGCCTTGCACGCCAGATGGGTCTAGCTCAGGGCTACAGAATTGTTGTAAATAACGGGCCTCAGGCGTGCCAAAGTATATACCACCTCCATCTCCATGTTGTTGGTGGTCGTCAACTTAGGTGGCCACCATATTAATTGCCAAAATTATTTTGACTAAGCATGTCTTGTCGCTACATTATCTTTTTATATTAATGACATTTGCTCTGAACGAACTTATAATTTGTATATAACTTTAGGTCCTTGATATACATGACTTTTGCTTTTATCATGTCGTTCCAATTTTTGAAATAGTTTATAGGGACGGAAAAACAATTTCCCAAAACATGTCTTTTATTTATTATATATTCAGAAATATACATTGTACAAGTTGTACAAGAATCTGTAAATGCATCAATTTAAAAGAAAATATATGAATGATTACCAATGGCAGATCTACTGTTATAACTTAGGCTTCAGCAAACAGACATACTGCGATATGAGTTGTTAGTTGTTATGGACAGAACCATCAAAATGTTGAGCGTGTTGAAACAAAGGTTTACAAGGATAGAACATTACACGTAGACTATAACAAAATAACACCTAGATGTTCTGCTCATTCTAATGGCAAAGGTACTAAAACATCACAAATTTAAAGAGTACATAATTATTTTTAACAAAATCTCACTCAATCCAGTCAACACATTTTGGTAGATTTTATGTCTTCCTTGTGCATTTTCCTATGTAACAAGAATAAAACATAAGTCTGACAATAAATATTAATAATGTTCTTCTGAAATATTGAAACTACTTTACATTGTTCGTCATATCACAATCAACCAATGAAGGTTCAATAGAAAAATAGTCCCGTTAGACTACAAAAATACAATACCTAACAAAAAACCATGACGTAATATCAGTCATTAATCAATGGGAAGATGAGAAAAATTAATTGCATTGGACCATTCATCTACTATTTTAGGCAGTGAAAATAATTTTCAAGGTACTAGTATTTCACTCGGACAACATTGCTCAAATATCAGATTCAGTTCAAATTGTCAGGTCATGAATACAACTGGTTCTTCCGTTTACCCTGCATCCGTAACATGAAAAAAATTGTAGGACCTTCTCCAGCAATATCAGTTTGGCAATGAAATACAGGATCCTAATTTTAAAAAGACAAAACAGGGGCTGTAGAAAAGATTCGTGAATGTCAGTCTGTAAATGTAAATGTATTCAAAACCCATAATGCAGACAGGATTTATCAAAATCATATTAGCTTACATTGTTTCAAAAATATTTAACACTAGAACCTAATGATAAGATGCTGCGGAAAAACAAAGATTAAACATGGGTGTTTTGTTAACATGATTTCCTTTTCCATCACAGAACAATGGGGATGATCTGAGAGTTGATCACTGGACAGGTTAATTAGTAACTTACTGTTTACCAAGCAGATTCACACACGTTTTCTACCCACACCACCCCTTTCAGTTGATAAACGAGGGTCAGTTGAATCCAAGAGAAAAACAAAAAACAAAACTGGTGTTACAAGCGACTTAGAAAAATTTCCCATAAACACAAGACATTTTGTTCAGGAAATTCTCTAACTTAGTTACAACAAGGAGAAAAAAAATCGAAAAAACGAGAGTAGAATAGAGCAAGAACAAAAACATTGGAGCTTATCAAACTAGTCAGAATATTAAAATAAACCAGCCCCATTATAACAAACAAAAAGAACCCATTAAGGACAGTAATAAACCTAACAATAATCATGCACTTCCATGCAAAGGAGCTGTTCTACACTCGGCTGATAATAATACATATAGTAAAACAAGATAATAGAGATAATGTTAACCGAGTTTACTTAAAATTCAAAAATAGAAACCAATTGAAATTATGCAGAAAATTTAAAAAAAATGCAAGGACTTTACAAAGCAGCCTAAGAAAGTTTAATAAAATTCCAACTATTGGAGACTTAAAGACTGCCCAGAAAAGGAGCAGATAATTTATAAGCACAACACACGTAAAAATTGCCAAGACATAGGCAAATCTATGTGGTACAAAATGTGATCAAAATGTAACTTGTATAACAATATGCATTATGGCTCATTCAGATCAACTGTCCGTAGAGCATCGCTTTCGTGTATCTCAAGTATGGCAACTGTTCCATCATTAAAACGGAATGACAATCCTCCATCAACAACAAGTCCTGCATCCAAGCAGCGAGACTTGACTTCAATACGGGATGCAAACCCTCTAGGCTCAACTCCTTTTGGCTGAGGCCACACACCCGCAGATATGAGGTCTCGGATAGTGTAGCCCATCCTTGTATCTTCTGTAATGATGTGAAAAAGAAGACCAATGAGTAAGAAAGGACAGCTTTCAGTAATGGAAATGTACTTGATCAGTTAGGTCCTCATTACTAACCTGCAGAAAATACAAGGCTGCTGTTAAATTCATCAGCCAAGTCTTGTACCAATGCTGACTCATGAGTCAAAGCAGGAAGGAGTTCTGGCCTTTTCTCTTGCAAAAGACGTAGCACCTCTGATACTGATTGTTGGGTCAGTCTATTGATGCTAAGATTCCATGAAGTTGAGCCTATCCGACAGAGATTATCATCATTGTCATGATCGAATTGAAACATTATCATAAATTATACGATTTTCTAACAGCGATCTTACCAGTTCCAGTGGTTACACAAAGCCCAGAGCTTTTAATCTTAGTTCTTGGGCCATCATTCATTCGCATTTCATAATAGGATACCCTGGCAGAGAGATTCTCTCCTATAAAAACCTAAAAACACAAACGGGAAAGCTTTAAAATTGACCTAAGAAAGAAGTAAACCAAATAAAACAGAATTGTGACTTTCTGGTTTACCTCATTAAGGGCCAGCACAGGTAGTCGCCTTTGTTGCACATTTGTTTCAGCAGGACTAACAACATTGGACTCCAGGCGACTCTCAGGAACCGCACTAAAAAATCTATTGACAAAAAACATTACAATAAGCATTTTCTGAAATAAAATAAAATAAAAAAGGGAACAAGAGACAAATTTGATAAGAATATCTTAGGAAGATTGTATCAACCTTTGATTTGAACCAAGAAGTTCCTGCTCGTGCAGTTCAACAGGATCTTCATGAACGTTTTCACCGCACAATATTATCCTGATTCTATTCCTAAAGCGCCATTTGAATTCACCCTGTGAAAATGAAGAAAAGTTAAGTACAATTTCAGATGATTTTAAATGGACTGGATTAATTAAGTCTAGACCGACCTGTTTCAGCTTCCGCACCGCTTCTTCAATATTAGTTGAGTACTTTTTGTTCAGACTTAAATATCCTTCAGATCGACGGGGATCAGAATTAAAACCAATGACTGGTTTTCTATTGTCAGTGACACGACCGGCAGCTAGTAAGAATGTGCCGTCCCCCCCAACTGCACAAATCATGTCAGCCCAGTTGATTTTGTCCATAGTGTAATCAAACCTAAAAAAACAAATAATTAAAAAATGTAGGTTAATAACTAATGCAAGCAGAAAGTTATGTATGGGATTTATTATCACTGTTGTTTTGGGATAAATCAAATAAAATCTTACCTGTTCACAACTCGGGCTTCGATACCAGCATCTTCAAAAGCTTTCTTGACATTCTGCTCAAATTCTTTGTGCAGTTTGTGATTTTTGATCAAAGAATCATAATCTGCACCTCTCTTCCGCAATGCCACTTCTAATTCTGATTCCGTAAGGTCGACATGTCTGCAGCGCTCAAAGTCATAGCGAGAAAGCTTTGAGACAAGAAGTAATTTACTCAGCTTGACAGAAGTTGGGGGTTCAGATGCCATGGTTGTTTGGGTTGAGAAACATTCAGTCTTTCCTTGAAACATTGGGGAGTGCTGCTTTGTCACAGTTAAAGGTTCCCAACGGCAGAAGGTTTTGCAATAAACTGTAAAAGAAAGTAGTGCTATAGTATCATCATTCAAATGCAGACAAAAATATGAAAAAAATGATGCAAATGATTTTTACACAATGAGATGAAATAGGAAAAAAAAAAAAACCTTAGAGAACAAGCTTAGTGATGACCAATCCTATCACCAGCAACACCAATGCATCATGGGATGAGGGATCTAGCCCTATGTCAGCGTGTTTCCCCAAACACAATATAACACAAACCATTCAGGAAAAAAGCTAGACAAATGAACCATGGATGACAATTCCATTTACATGAAGTTTGACTGTTCTGGGTAAGTCACAAGCAAGGCAAGTTATTGAAAATAAAAATTGGAAGGTGGTAGATACAGTAGAAATCAGAGGGGACCATGGCAATCTGAGAAACAAGAACAGCAATGTATGAAGAGAATCCCAAGATGACAGACAACAATGGAGCGATGAAATTGTAACTCTTTTTAAAAACAGAAATATTGCCACAATTAAAACTACTGTTAAGAAGACAGGTCCACTGCCATCTGTTATGGGGCACAAACCCAGTGCTCAATATGAGTGATCACACAAAACAGTGTAAAAAAAGTAAGATTATTAATTACTGCCAACACACATACATGAAAAGTATTTGTCAGGTGCAGAAGCAGAACATTGATGATTTGATCTAAAAGTCATAATTATTTCAAACTTTTCATGCAAGTGTTTGAAGATGTTGTGAGTCAAACAGCACTGAATTACATGTTTCAGAGACATGAATTATGAGAGTACACTGTACTGACTTGTAGTACAGTGGAGTAAACGAAGGAACTCTTTTATTTTTGTTTGTGGTTGCACAATGATGAAAGCTTAATCTTATTAAAAGCTAAACAAAGAAAAAGCTTGATAGATAAAATTTTCCACCTCTCTTCCCAACCAGAAAACAACAGACATTTTGTGTAAATGTGATTTAAAACTCTCAGTCCATTCCTTTTGAACAATGAGGTGCATTAACAAATGAGAACTCAGCCTGTTAAGATGTGCGACACACACCTCTCTTCTCACCACACCTAATGTTGATAGCAGCTACCACGATTCAGTGCCGATGAAATCTGTTGGGAAATGAGAAATGATTAGCCCTGATTAGCCGTTGCCCACAGAGCATAATGAAATGCTTCTCAGTACATGTTACTGCACACATTTATCAATTTTCAACATTTTCATGAATATTTAGTGCTCTTAATTATAAAAATTCAGAAACTAATATATTAGCCATTGTATTTCATATGTTTGAATCAAAGCCAACAACTAGCATTAAAACAGACTGTAAAAGACATACAACAACATGACATGAGAAGAATTTCTCTTCTTCAGCATTACTTTCACTTCAAGTAGGCTAAGATCCACATCATCAATGGAATGTTGTCAATTCCAACAATAAAATAAGAGGTGGAGATAAAATACGAATGTTACGATAGAACTGGATCACACTCGACATCCTTAAATCTACAGAACAGTAATTCAGTGAAATATGGCTCGGTACAGAGGTCCATGTGTGTCATGACACTGACCTATGGGTTGAGAATGGTACCCCCGTACCCCACTACCCGGTGATACACGCATAAAATTGTTCCAGAGATACAACTTGAAACTATTTGATGGTTAGGAGTAAACCTTCCACAGGACAAAATATACGACGATAAAGGACACACTCCGCGCACAGACACTCACAAAGCACAAGCACGTCATGAAATTCAATGGATATTGAAATTTTTGTGATTAGAAAAAAAATTTCAGCCTGAATGGGGTTGAGCAAGACGACATGCGACGTGGATGTCAATTCCACTTTTCATTCGTTCCTTACCACGACCGACGTTTTTCAATATCAGGTGCTTGGAAGACATTTCAGACACGAACTCTGGACGGATCACGTTCTGCCAGGGACCATAGTTGTCATCTAATATGGTTGAATACTGCACAGACCGCGAGTTTAATGTTTGTGATTTTTTTTATCCGTGTTGTTTGCACAGCGCGTTTCTGCTAGCGGGCAGAGAAACTGCGGCCTCAACAATTTTTCATAACCCGGATGGAAGAGCGCGATTTTCCAAACACTTTCAAACTGGTTCGGGGAAGGAGCCCACTGGACATCGATGACGATGACGCTTCAATCAGTCAATTGATCGAAAAAGACTGTCCTGTGCTGTAGTGTGATTGACGATCCAAATACTAATGGGCTCAGGAAGCGGTAAGGAATGTGAGAGCTCCTTTTCGCGCAGTTGATGGTTTTGATAACGCAGGGTGGCCGTTTCAACACATGCCCTAGGTCATAGATTAATTAAACTGCTTCTGATCGACTTATCGCAATTACTGCAGTATGACGCAACAGGCTAATCATTTCGAGGTCCTTATCAGTCGAAAATGGAGGGAAGCTAAAGGTGGGAAATGAAGTTTGACGCGGAGTGCGTCGTTTCTCTGAGTGGTAAAGAAGCATACAGTGTAACAAAAATGGTGACACCTGTTTTGTTTGATAAAGCCGAAAAAAGAGAGAAATGAATGAAGAAGCTGGCTGAAGAAGACATGGGGCTTAAAGCTCATGGAAAGAAGAACACAGGAAAGAAAAAGAAGTGGCCGACAGTAGCGCGCCCTAGCGGCCGTAGCGGAAATTAACCTCAGTTTATCGTGATCCAAAATGGCAGTTTGCGGTGGGTGACAGTTCGGAACATAAAGTTCACCAAGTATTTGCGTTTATTGTAAGTTGAATATTATTTGTCTTCATTCAAAAGTTGCGTCGTAAAGTTGTCGAGTGGAATGTGTACTTATAGTGGGCGTACTCAGAAAACGTGATATCTTAATCGTTATTGTGTAGTCGTCCAGGAACTCCTTTGAAAATTTCGAGGGAAATAAACACCCAATGCATTCGTTTCTGAAAAAAAAACCCCAAAAATTTTAATGCAATTTTCTGAGGTATCAAAAGTTTTTGCCATTAACATTATGATTGTAAACAACATTTGCCGTGGCCTTATCTATGCCAATTGTTCCATCATATTTGGGGCACTACACTTTAGTACTCTCTGTTCTTTGTGATTATTTGTGTAGAACCCTTCCGAAGTGGTCTTTAATCCTTCACGATTGCCCTTTCATGGTATTCCGTGTCTGTAAACATATTTTCCGAGAGTTGTACTGCCCACCCCTTTCCAAGTTGCCAATGTACCAGCCCAATGCAAAGTTACCTTGCAAGTGTTTACATTTTTGGTTTGTCTGTTGCAATAGCAGAGATTTTAGTGGCACAGTACATGCTATTAATTTCATGTCAGCCCAATTTTCACTTTAGTTTTCTGAGAATGTTCTCTTCACAACATTGTCTAAATATGTCAACATGTTCTGTGTTCATGGTTATGTGGTTATGGCTCCTACCCATTTTGTGTGTGAAACTTTTCACTAATGGTCTATTTTTTAAACAAGTCCTAAGTGTTTCTTTTTGTCTTTTGTTTCAGGAATCATGGAGCCAATTATTCGATTGTGTTTTAATTATACAGTGCTGTTGTCCTGACAGTAGTGTTCTACGGGCGACAGTTCCGGAACTGTTTGTCAGACTTTTAGTGCATTTAATTAAGTGATTACATTAGTGTTGTGAAAGTGAGCCAGCAAGAATGGCACGACAACCACCACCTCCGAGGGATTTGGACGGCTTCCAGCCTCTCCTCTCGACTGCAGACACCAAGCGGAAGCTGCAGATAGGCAATGATCTCATTACCTATCTCGGAGATCCCAGCAATCACATTGACTGTTTGGATATTGGTCTCTTCATCGATGGACTGATCCCTTGGATGCATAGCAACAACTTCAAGGTAAGTTTACTCTGTCTTTACTTGTCTCCTCTAAAGAATGAAAGAAATATCTTCAAATATAACATTTTACCGCTAAGTATCTCAATGAGGTCACCCTTTAATTTTTAATTGAAGATTTTGTGATGATTGCAAAGAGAGGGGTTGCGTGATTTATTGCGCTCTTTCTACATAAATAGATCGCAATAACTGTTCGAACCCTTTGCCTGTTGAAACGGGGCCTTCCCAGTTGAAACCGCATCTGTCAAAATGTGAACCCAAAGCGACTTTGATTTTGATTGGGTATGATTTGTGTAAATTGAACCAGAGGCAGAGGGCGCTCGTCTCGTCCGCGTTGCGCTGTGCCATGCTGTGCCCGGCAGACTGATTCCGATAGTCGTTTTCGTTGCTCTGTCTCTCTCGCACTCATGGGGCGTCCCGCTTAGGTGCGAGAGAGTCAGAGCGACGAAAACGACTCTCGGATTCAGTCTGCTGTTGCACGTAGGGACGTGTGCTGAGAAACGAGATCGTGGGAGTGAACCTCCTCTCCTCCCCCGCCGCCGAGCCGCCACGCCCCTCTCCCCCTTCCCTCACCTTCCATCCCCCCCCCCTCCAGTCCGGGCGGCCTGTGTACGCCTTTCACCGCTGAGGCGAGGCGAGGCGAGGCGAGCGGGGCGAGCGGTGGTCGGGTTGAGGCTAGGACATGCTCAGCCCCCCGCCCCCCCGGCGGCCGCGGCCCCGGACCGGACATGCCTCACCAGCGCACTTATTAAAAGTACTCGCCACGACTTGCACCCTTCACCCTCGCCTAGGCACGCCTAGAGGTCTCTAGGTCTCTAGGCACGCCTCGGGGTGGTCTGATCCTACAGTGGTCAGGGGAAATCACTGTGAATTTTGGTAAGCAAACTAAATGAATATCAGTCGATATCAGTTGAATTTCTGCCAAAAACTACTGAATTTTGAGAAGAATTTGGATGAATTTCAAAGAATTTCAGAGTTTGGTGAATTTTGGTGTACAAAGTTGGCTGGAGTTGTTTCCCCTTGGTCAGTAACTTTGCGTTTGGCAAGGATGGATTCGTCATGGAGGTGCTGAGAATTTTTACTCACTCGAGGAACAGTATGAAGGAATGTAATCTTCATTCGCGTCTCGTTGCCTCCCCCTCCCCTCCCCCAAAGGTTCCACCCCTCGCGTCGTGGTCACTCACAGTCTGTGAGACGTGATGACATGGGGCGGTAGTTTCAAACATGTGCCGTGCTCAACTGCACTGTCAAGCCACCTGTTGTAAACGACTGGGCGGCTAGCTGTGCTGTGCCGGTGCCAGGAACTGCTAGGGACTGCCAGCAGACTGATGCCGAGAGTCGTTTTCGTCGCTCTCTGTCTCTCTCGCACTCATAGGGCGTCCCGTGTGACTGCTAGAGAGTCAGCGACGAAACCGACTCTCGGAATCAGTCTGCAGGGATTTGGTTGGCAGAGTACAGCCGGCCGGCCGGTGCGCGCAAAGCGCTAAGCGCGAAGCGACGCGAAGCGCAAGGGAAGGCCTTATGGAAACGCATCCTGGGGCCTGGCTGCTGGGCTGCTGGCTGCCTGGCTGCCCGGGCCCCGCTGCCTGGCTGCCCTGGGTGCCCTGGCCCCGCGCTGGCTGCCCGCGGCCGCCTCGCGATCCGAACGCGCGCTTGTCTCTCTCGCACTCGTGGCATGCTCGTGGGGCGTCCCGTAGGACCGTAGGGGTGCGAGAGAGGCAGAGCGACGACAGCGCCGTTCGCCGTCTGTCGGCCGCGGTGCTGCGCGCTGCGGTCAGGTGCGCCCGGATCAGTGATTAGGATCGCGCTGCGTTCGAACGGGACGCGATCGAAGCGGGCGAAGCGGGCCTGGCTACACCGCACTGCACCGCACAGTGGGCCAGAAGACCGGTGGAGGCGGCCAAAATTCTAGACGCGTTTTGAGCTGTAGAGTCGCTTAACAGGACTCGAACCGTACGTGCGACCGGATTCCTCGTTCGGTAGGGTCACACGTTACATCGGTCGTCACGTCGCATGGTTCGTCACGTTGCGTCGTATGTCACTTTGAATTCCTTCGTCGATTTGAATTCGTTCGTCGCGTTGCATCCGCGGCGTCCCGGCTGGCGGCGCGACGTTCGCCGCGCGGAAGGCGTGAAGCCGTGCAGGTGGGAAAGTGAAATTGGCACGGAAACGGCCAAACGGCCGTGCCGTGTGAAGGAGTTATTACTTGCCTCTCTATCCGCGTCTGGGTCGTCCTTGCAAGGACGCCAGGGCGACCGACCGGGTTGGGGTCGGGGTTGGGGTTGGGGTTGGTTGTGCCGGGAGGGGTGGGGGGCTCGGGTTGGGGTTGCTCACACTGCAGGGTTGCCGCTGGCGCGACTTTTTCGCACGCGACGCGGCTCTCGGCCTGCTGATGTCCTTCGTGACCCCCCTCCCCCTCCCGTCGCCAAGTTTACCCCCACCCCACAGTGGGCCAGGAGACCAGCGCAGCCGGCCAAAACTCGAGACGCGTTTTGAGCTCTAGGTTCGCTAAATGAGACTCGATCTGAACGTGTGACCCCACCCATGGATTGCTCTCCGAACGAGGAACCCATTGGTGGGGTCACACGTTCGGTTCGAGTCCTCCACCGGTCTCCTGGCCCACCGTGGGTGCGCACCCCTCTCCCCTCGACCATCGCCGCCTTTCCCGCGCTCGCCTCCTGGGGCGGCCGCGGAGGGCCACCCCCCGGACTGATTCCGACAAACAAAATGTTTTCGTCGCTCTGTCTCTCTCGCACCCCTACCGGGCGCCGCGCGAGTGCGAGACGGGGGTGACGAGAGCACTGCTATTCGGAAGCGAACTGCTGTGCGCGTGTGTCGCCTCGATTCGCATTCGCACGCCGGCCGAAAGTCGGTCTAGTCGCGACAATTGCTCTTTTATGCGAGTTTTCAAGTCGCAGCGGGTTTCTATTTGGCCCTCCCCCTCTCGCTTGCCTCCCTCCTCCCCACTCCCCTCCCCCCTCCCCGTGGCAGCCCTCCCCCTCCCCTCCCCTCTTCCTGCTTCGCGCACGCATTATCTTGAGGTGCAAACTTGGCGCGTGTTTGTTCCTGTACAGTGTATACCGCCGCGGCGCGGCTAGCGCGGCTATAGCGTCTCGCGGGTCGCGTCTCTCTCGCACCCCTTGCGGGGCGCGCTGTGAGTGCGAGAGAGACGGACAGAGCGCTGCCGAAAGCGCTGCTCGTCCTGCCCCGTTGGCTGACGAGGGATTCAGAAGATCGGTTCGTCGCTCTGTCTCTCTCCCACCCTTGAGCAGGACGCCATGAGTGCGACAGAGACAGCGACGTAGCACGACTCTTCCTGAATCGCTAGATTGGCGCGTCGCCGTCACGACGGAGGAGGAGTGCATCGCACAGTGGGCCAGAAGATCGGTGGAAGCGATCAAAACTCTAAACGCGTTTTGAGCTCCAGAGTCGCTAAATGGGACTCGAACCGAACGTGTGACCCCACCAATGGATTGCTCTCCGAACGAGGTATCCATTGGTGGGTTCACACGTTCGGTTCGAGTCCTGTTTAACGACCCTGGAGCTCAAAACGCGTCTTGAGTTTTGGTCGCCTGCGCCGGGCTCACTGTGCATAGTCTCGGAGGACGGTGGCCGTGCGGGCCGTGGCGCGCGCCGCGTTTGAAATGTCAGCCTCCGTTTCCGTCCCATGAACCATGGCCTACCCCTCTGCCTTGTCTAATTTGGCTCCCCCTCCCCCTTTCCCCACCTCCTTGTCCGCCCCTGTCCTCTCCCTACGGCGTTGGGCGCGATGGCCTGCCCGCTATGCCTTGCTGCGGACTGATTCCGAGAGTCGTTTTCGTCACTCTGTCTCTCTCGCACCCAAACGGGACGCCCCACGAGTGCGAGAGAGAGAGCGACGAAAACGACTTTCGGAATGAGTCTGCTGCCTTACCTCCTCCTGAGTCACTCTGCATGTATCGCTCGGGCTGGCATCTCGCGCGGCACCGCCAGGGCACCGCCCACCCCATCGCGCGCGTGCCCGCCCAAAAAAATGGGACAGAAATGAAGGAGGAAAGGCGGAGGAATAAACAATTAAAAGACGCGAGACGGAAAACGAATTGAAGGAAACCACACAGCACGCGCAGTGCGGCCGTCGCTCTGTCTCTCTCGCACCGGTGGGGAGCGCGGCGGAGCGCCTCGTGAGTGCGAGAGAGACCTCCCACTCGGTCGCTGCTGGTTTAGCAGCTGAATGGTTTGCATATTTTTAATTACTTGTCCGGCAATGCCGATCAACTCGGTAGCCGCTCACTCCGGTGAGGCGCGGGGGCTGCGGGGGCGTGGGGGAAGGGGAGGGGGAGGTGTACATGGATGGGTGTGACGCACTTTTGAGGTGGAGCAACCCGCGAGTGGCGCACGCGCGCAATTTAGGCAGAGTGCCCCGCCAGGGCCACTGCGTTCTGTGCCGAGGGTCACTTTGGAGTGTCCCACAGTGGGCCAGAAGACCGGTGGAGGCGGCCAAATCTCTAGAGTCACTAAACAGGACTCGAAACGAAACGTGTGACCTGAGGTGTGACCCCACCAATGGACCCTCGTTCGGATCCTCGTTCGGATAGCAATGTAGGGGTCACACGTTCAGTTCGAGTCCTGTGTAGCCACTCCGGAGGTCAAAACGCGACTTGAGTTTTGGCCACCTGCGGCAGTCTTCTGGTCCCCACTTTCTGGGCGGAGCGGCCAGGGAGTTCCACACATTTTGAACGGTCTTTGAGCTGGCACTGCCGCTGGGCGAGTGCCACTCTGCTCTAGGCAGCGGACTGATTCCGAGAGCCGTCTTCGTCGCTCTGTCTCTCTCGCACTCTAGGGACGTTCCGCTGGGGTGCGAGAGAGACAGAGCGACGAGAACGCTCTCGGAAGGAGTGTGCAGTGCGTCGCCCCCTCGGGGCCCGGTGCGCGTCGTTGCACGGGGCGCGGTGCACTCCTTCGGGACCTTTGAGGCGTAGAGGGCGCGCCACGCTAAACTTAGGCCAGGGTAGGGCGGCCGCAGG